ATACAATAGGAAATAAAAATACAAATGTTTAATGACACGAAAGATATAACGAACTTAAATCAATTTTTGTAAACGGGATTCGTGTTACATGGAACACATCGAAATTGTTACAGTTTTTTTTTAACAATACTAGATGATGTTAAGTGTTCAAAAAATAGATTTCTATATTCAAAATCTCTTCTACAAGTTTTACTCTAATTTCTATATTTTTTGTTGACTGCATTTATATACAAATTCTGTTTGTGATGTGTGCTATGCTTATTTTGCATTAACTGTATTACACTATTGTTGTTTTGTTTTTCTGCAACGATGTAGATCAATAGTGCATACTCGGAGTTCTTGGCTCTAAAAAATATCTAAAGGTTTCTTTTTGGAATGATGGCAACTTTTAACATAATTTCAACGGTGAAGCGGTCCACACGCACAACTTCCTACGGTGGAGCAACTACCATATGTTATGTCTTTTTAGGATATGATCGAATATTCATATACATAATTTATATATATATATATACATAATTTATATATATATATACATATATATGTATATATATTCGTTAGACATACATATAGATTTAAAGACAACCCCCAAAAAGTTATTTGAAGGCTCCTAATTTACTGTCATTGAGGTTTCTAAAATTTTAAAATAAAAAATGAAATTTATAAGGATTGCTATATAAATCGTATTGTATTTTGACCATAACATGTAATTTAAGGATTTGTATAAATGTTGTTATTGTGTCATTACATGAATTCACACCAATATGTACGTTTCAGCCTTTCAGGTTATTGAAAAAGAAACGGATTACAAACATTTTGTTTTTGATAAGTTGTTTCTTGCAACATCCATCTAATTAATTTGTTTAAAAATATCTTGAAAATGGATTACGTATATGTGATGTGATTCATCATTCATGTGAAGGGATCGTTTTTTTAGTGGAGCTAAACAGGTTGGCAAATCCGGACCAATACAGAGCATAGTCCAATCCATGTAATCTCCTTACAAAAAATACCTTCTGAATGAATATATTATATATATGAGCTATAAAAATATGCACCCCTTATTTTTCCACATCGTATTTTTTACTTCATCTTGTCAATTCTATATAAAATAAATCTAAGTATGTACATGTTGCATCCACTGTCTCGCACGACCGATTTGCATGACTGATAGTAAAGCAAAGATGGGGAGAAGCTAAAAAAAAAGACTAGGAAAGAAATGTAATAAAAACAAAAACTGGTCGATTACCTAAAATTTTAAAATTTTCATTTGATAAATAGTGATATATCATTTATCAAAATTAATCTACAATCATTTTAGTTTGGAAAATTATAAAATATAGTAAGCAATTTAAAGTTGCGATTTGGGTCACAGGTTCAGCTAGTGTCCCAGTGTAACAAATTAACAACATTCCGTGACCCTAAGGTTGTGGCACGTGCTGGACCCCCTCACTAGTCGATTACTACTATTTCCACCCACTTCCTCTATTATAGCATCATATTACAAATCAAAGCGTTGTATGTATCATGTATGCATTATGCATGCATTTTTTTTATACAAACGCGTTTGTAATATTGGTATGACAAACTAAAAGTTTTGTTTGTCAAAATGTTATCATCTTGTATTGAAAAGAAACACTAATGAGATTAATAAACCAGTATAAAGCCCAACATTATAAAGCCGTGTGACATTTTAACAAGTCATGATTTATTGTTTCCTCAACTACTATAAAGACTACAATGACTATTCTCTCAAACACTTTTTCTATCTCGCAGTTTACTATTAAACGCAATATCACTGGGTGGTATTTGCCAAACAATTGGGACTTGGTTCACAATCCATTAATCTTGCAATAACTCGAATTGAATTCTAAATGTAGAAATATCTACAAATTTCTGGCCAACCATTAAATGGCCCGAATGTGGAAGTTATTGGTTTTCATGTCACATGTGAGAGGTTATTGGTCTTTGTCTTACTATAAATATTCTTAAAATTCACTGATCTTCACTGAATTCTTCTAGAAATAAAGTGGATATTCTTATATAGTAATAAACTGATTAAAAACGTTATGAAATCACTCAGTTGCGGCTTAAATTTTGGTCAAAACTGACCAGAATAAGTGCTAGTATTGTCGCTGCGTTGTCACACGAATACAAACTAAAAAAAAATGCATATATTAGTTGTAGTTAATCATCACAACTCAGAATGTCCAAGGTAGATTTATTTGTTTACAAGGTAGATTATTAATGTTAATCCGTAAACTAAAATCAAAATTATAACCAAGGTTATATGACTGAGTCGCTTGTTATGCAATGCCATGGATACATGTATGCCAAGTATTTTGAAAAAGAAAAATAATTTTATTTGGGATAGCAAAGACAATATTCATGAATTATCCATTAACAAAAAAAATTCATAGTCAGGAGAAAAAACATCCTGCCACCACAAGTTTTCAGAAAACAATTTGTATTTAATTATGCAAGCCTACTAAAAACAAAAAACAAATAAATACAACAACCAGTAAAAACTCGCCACGTACGAACCTTTGTCAAACAGTTGACAGTAGACTGTGGTGGTCTCTCTCGGTCTCGATTTCAGATTTCTCAGTGTACGACCATTATCCCTAATACACATAAAAGAGCAGGCAAATTAATTGATCTGCGGTGAAGATTCTCGAAAGCATGTCATGTTTGGGTAGGTTTTTGTCGGTATCTTACCCACCGGATCCGTACGTTTCGCGGTTTTCAGTGTATCAGCTGTCTTCACTACGGCGAAATCGGAGATTGATATGGCGATTCTCGGCGTCGGACCCAGAATCTTCCTCCCCAGCTTCCTCTCTCGACTCAGATTCCGCCGACAAATTCGCTGCCGGGTAATCGAATTAGCATCTTCTTTACACTGATGTTCCGTTTTGTTCTCTCTCTGAAGAGTTGAATCCGTAAGATCACAGATTTGGAATTTGATCATTTCTTTCAATATTGTTTTCGAAAATATCGCCGTCGCTGTTTCCTGTTTTCAGTTAATAAAAATCTGTGAGTTAATGATCTTGAATTTTGAAGTTTCTACATTTGATTTTAGGTTCAGTATAGTGAGGAACATGTTTAGTTTTGATTTGTTGTGTTGGAGTTCAAACGAGAATCGCTGAGGAGCTTTGTCGTGACTTTTGATGATCTGGTGCAGCTTTTGTATCATAGAAGGGCCTGAAACAGTGCAAGACTTTGCCAAAATGCAATTACAAGAGATTCAAGATAACATTCGAAGCCGACGAAACAAGATCTTCTTGCACATGGAAGAGGTGCATCTTCATAAAACCTTTCTATAAAAAGCGGAAGCCTTTATATCACTTTCTAAATGTGGTTGTTAACTAGTTTTCATGGATTGTATGTATATAGGTGCGCAGGCTAAGAATACAACAACGGATTAGAAACAGAGAACTTGGCATCATTAACGAAGAGCAAGAACACGAATTACCTAATTTCCCATCCTTTATCCCTTTCTTACCTCCATTGGTTAGTTTCCGTTTAGAAAAAGTTGGATTCCTTCTTTTGCTCTTTTTTCTTTCTGAAATGATCATAAGAACATTTGATTTCTCAGACTGCTGCAAATTTGAAAATCTACTACGCAACTTGTTTTTCACTCATCGCTGGTATTATCCTGTTCGGTGGCCTACTTGCGCCTACGGTAAGTGCTTTGCTACACTTTTTTTTCACGTTTGATTTTTCTTTGTTCAATATTGGCATAGATCACTTTATTCTCTGTTTTTATTTGTGACTTGGGCAGCTAGAGCTGAAGCTAGGTATAGGAGGCACATCATATGCAGATTTCATTCAAAGCCTTCATCTACCTATGCAATTAAGGTTTAAAATACTTTTGTTTTTCTTCTTCTTTTAATAATATCTCTCTATACGTTTGCGTCTATATAGAAAAGATGCTTAATCTGTGTGTAAATCTGAACGACAGTCAAGTAGACCCGATTGTAGCATCGTTCTCTGGAGGAGCTGTTGGTGTGATTTCAGCGTTGATGGTAGTCGAAGTCAACAACGTAAAGCAGCAAGAGCACAAGAGATGCAAATACTGTCTAGGAACTGGTATTATTGATTTACTCTGCTTTTTCTTGCTTTTTCGAAAGAATGAGATTTTCAGAATCTGGTTTTAACGCCGTCTTATATATAACACAGGGTATCTAGCGTGTGCTCGTTGCTGTAGCACAGGTTCTCTTGTTTTAGCTGAACCAGTCTCAACTATTGCTGGCGGGATTCATTCTCGATCACCTCCCAAAACCGAAAGATGTTCAAACTGTTCAGGAGCCGGAAAGGTAAAAGAACACAAAAAAAACAAACAAAACCTAAGATGTTAAGATGCTAAGCTGTGTAATGTGTTTGATGTTCAGGTGATGTGCCCGACATGTCTGTGCACAGGAATGGCTATGGCGAGCGAGCACGACCCTCGGATCGATCCTTTCGACTGAATCTGCAACACGTTCCACTTCCCCACAATCTCTCTCTGTCACTGTAACTAAAAAAAACGGTATGTACTGATGAAGAATTAGAACTGTGTCCTTTGGTCTGTATATACATACACAAATGAAGTTATAAGTACATTGTTAGGTTTGTATGCTCAATACAACATAATGTGTGGTTTCTCCAGTAAGCAAAAAAGCTTGTTTCCTGTTAACTTGTTTTTTCCACCCCTTCATGTTACATTTTGAATTGTTCGTTTCTGGAGCTCTGAATGTTTTCAATTCCATAACAATGACAAGAAAAGAATGATAAAAATAGGTGTGTGTGTGTGGGCACAAGCAACTCGGTTGCAGGAATGAGAGTGACACCAAGGAACCGATGATTTTTTATTCATTGTAAACGCGAAACAGTACAAAAGCCTCGCAACAACTCCAAAATTACAAATATCAGAAAAAGTGCAACGTTATATGTATACACATAGAAAAAAGTAATTTAAAAACGGAGTGGTTGGTTGATGAAATTTGGTATATATGAGTTTATGAAGAAGGAGGAGGGAGGAGCCAGCTGGATCCTTCGATGTAGCCAAGAGAGATGAAGTAGTTAGCTTCTACGTTGTCAATGTCTTGTGTATACTTAACTCTCTTCTCCTTCTGCGATCCTGGTCCTGAGCACTTGTACTCTCCATAGAACACCGTCCTGCTCATCAACCCGGTGCAGTTTACATAATTAAATATATATATATATCTGTAAGAAACGTTTTTGTGCATGATCCGAAATAAATATATACAAGGTTTGGGATGACATACTGGTCACGCTCGGTTTGGGTATTTTCATGCCATCCGGACGGGTTAACGGCACTTGACATGTCGGTGTATGCGTACACGACCTTGGGGTGGCTCATCCATGCTCGACCCAAGTAGATACCTGTTCCAGTCCCTGTAACCTTGCAGTGCACGAATGAGTATCCGCTTTTCTCTTCCGTGCTTTTGCCCGCTTGGGCTGCGATCACTCTGAGTCCATCTCCCACCACGTTTAGTTGTGTACTCTTAGTTCATTAAAGAAAAAGGATTACCGTATTAGAAATCTTCATCAAAACATGTTTATAAGATAGAGCGTACGTACGAGGAAGAGAGAGATTAGGTTTTAGGGTACGTACGAGGTATAAAGAGCGTCCGCTTCCAAAGATAAAATCAAATGTCCCTTCGATGTAACAGTCTTTGAAGAAATGGTTTCCGGTGTCATCGCAAATCGTGTCTTGATAACCGTAGAATTTACAGTTGTAGAAAGCTCCTTTGTTGCCTGAGATTCTCATAGATAAGGCTTGTGCTCCTTTCCTTTTCCCATCCGGCATCGGAGCAGAGTTCTAATAATATACAAACGTACACCTTTTTAAATGTTACTATAGAACCAACATGCTTTATATGAAAACTAATGAATGTTTATGATATCTATACCTTAACGATGATGTTAACGGCCATGAAGTAGTCGGACAAGACAATGAGGGTGGCGCTATCGACTGTCCCGTATTCGGCTGCGGTGCCGTTGAATGTCAAAACCGGCATTGCATCGGGATGACCGTACAATGTGATGAAGGGTTTGTTTCTGTCGATGGTGACCTTCTCATTGTATTCACCGCGACCTAACTTGATGATCACGCGTTGCGTGTTCTCTGCGGGTACACTATTTATCGCCTCTGTTAATGTCTTGAAATGTCCTCCTCCGTGTTGTTTCACCTGCATTCGTGATAACCAAACTATTTTTCGTTAATAAAACCCTAGTCCACTCAGTATCATCATGCATTCTATCGCGTTGGCCGCGCGATCAAGTTTTACAACAGTACTACTGATTGAAAGTAATGATTTGAATATTGTTATGCCTTAATGACACGTGGGGAAGCCTCAGCGGCCAATAGAGCTGGATCTAGTGTGCTGTTTCTACTAGCCAACGAAGGGGCGTTGGTGTTGAACCACTGCTCGATTTGGTCTTTGTTCTCCGGAATTGGTGCTGCATCGTCACCGAAAACCACGGGAGATGTAATCACAACGAGCAGGATTGATACTACTAGGGACACATTACTGAATCCCATGTTTTTATTATTAATATATTTTTTACAATATATTTTTTTTAATGTATATTTACTATTTTTTTTAAAGGAGAGATGATTTTTCTTTACTTTTCCTGATGGTTTATATGTATACGATCGCCGAAAGCGAAGAACACTCGATGCCATTCATTTTTTTGGTTAAATTGGTTTCGCTTTGCTGCTCTTTATTCATTTTAGCCCTTCGTAATTCCTATGTATATACCTTTTAAGGTGTAAACCCGTTGGGAACAGATTATTATCAATTTCTGTATACGAATCGCTATAGAAACAGATTTTATAGAATATTTTTGGAAATGATTTGTTAAATTTACGTATTCTACTAGACTCCACAGTTCATTTTATTGGAAATCACAGCGTTAAACTAGAGAGACAACGATTACCGGCATACTCTTTTTTATTTAAGGTTTTTTTTCCATTAGTTGTGTAATTGAACAATTACAAACTTTTTATAATTTTTGTTTTAGAAACCTCTCGAAAAACAGATACAACTAATCAGGAAGACATTTTTTATGACTAATTTGCATGTGCTTCGGCCCAACAATCAAATTGTCAGCAACAATACCCATCATATTATCATATACATATCGACGATCGAAAATTATAAGAATTCATGAACGAATGTATGTCAAAACGAATGATTATATATGAGACATCTCAAATCGATTGAAACCATCTATGCTAAAAATGTGTACTACATAATATATATACAGCTGGCTTGACTATTTACAGGTTGGTTATAAGTTTGAGTGTGTCTCAAGACATATAATTTTGATAAAAAAAAAAAAAAAAAGAGAAACCCTAACTGAAAAAAAAAGTTGTTTTTAAGACAAGGAAATAAAGGCTTGAGCAGTTCTAGCGACTTTGATGAAGACATCTTCAAGAGTTGTGTCGGCGAGTCCTCAAGCAAAGACTGAAAAGTTTGATTTGGCCTTTTCTACAGCACGAAACACTTCAGCAATGCTAACCTCGTGCTTCGGAAGCTCGAATTTCTGTGTACCGGCGAGATGATATATCTTCTTGGCGTTGGGAGAGACAGTTGAAACCAATCTCTCAACCTCTTGCTCATGTTTTGAAGATGTTGTCATCGTGAACACATATGATCCACCGTACCTGCCGAACATTCGTCCATATGTGTTTCCTCTGCAGCAGAAATAGGAGAACTCATTCATCAAGTTGGAGGAAATTATCAGATAACAAGAACGAGGCTTCTACATACCTAATAGGTTAAGTTCTTCCTAAGTAACGCATTGGCTTGCGTCCAGAAACTTGCAGAACTAGGATCCGCCATTGATTTTAAAGAAATAAAGAAACACGAGCTTTCTTTTTTTATAGATGATTCGATCATCATCATGTTCCTAATTTATTGCCAAAAATAAAAAATGAGGTCTCAAATAAGTTTCTAAAAATAAATGAGGGTCCCACAACTTCTCACATTTCTGATTTGTCAACGTCGGGAAGAAATTTAGTCTTGAAATCCGGAAACACTTTCATTAACTCCTCTTAAAAAAATTAATAATAAGAAGTTTCCTTTATTACTTTTTTTTTTTTTTTTTTTTTTTTGCTGGGTTGCTAATAAAAAAATGATTTTGCAAGAAGGATTGCCACTTCTCAATCAGCAGTTCACGGCGTTGTTGAGGAAGAACCTATTGCTCTCATGGCGGAGCAAGAGAGCGATGTGTCTTCAGCTCTTCTCTTCATTCTTCTTCATCCTCGTCATCTTCTGTATCGAGGGAGCGATGAAGGCGAGCGACGCGTCCTCGACGGCGTACAAGAACGTGACCGATCCCATGCTTCTGGTTTCGCCGCCGATCCCTCCTTGTGAAGATAAGTTCTTCGTGAAGCTCCCTTGCTACGACTTCGTATGGAGTGGGACGCCGCGTCACTGACATCGTCTCTGCAATCATGGCGAACAATCCGGGGAGACCAATTCCCAACAACAAGGTTTCATTCTATATTTTGTTGAAAATCGAAAATGTGTGTGTGTGTTGAGGTTTTTGAAAGCCAAAGTTTGATCTTTTGATGTTAAAGGTTCAATCTTTCAAAGTGCCTGAGGAGGTAGATTCATGGTTTCTGTCACATCCTTTGCAAGTCCCAGGAGCTTTGCATTTTGCGGAAATGAATGCTTCTGTAATCAGCTATGGAGTTCAGACAAATTCCTCGTCGGAAAAAAAACGTGGTCGTGTTGAAGACCCAACCTTTAAGTTCCTTGTTCCTCTTCAAATCGCTGCAGAGCGTGAGATCGCCAGGTCCTTAATCGGAGGTATACCATTCTTGAATCATCTTGGGAGCTATTTGATTGTGGCTTTTCACACCGTATGTGTTCGATTTTCAATTTCAGATCCAGGTTTTGGTTGGGGTTTTGGATTTAAGGAATTTGCGCGCCCAGCTTATATAGGTGAAACGATCTCTGCACTCAGAGTCATGGGTCCAGTCTTCTTTCTTGCTTTCTCCATGTTTGGTTTCGTTCTCCAGCTCGGTTCTTTGGTTACCGAGAAAGAGCTAAAACTTCGCCAGGCGATGACTATGATGGGAGTTTTCGACACAGCTTATTGGTTCTCATGGCTCATATGGGAAGGGATCCTCACCTTTGTCTCCTCACTCTTCCTGGTCCTCTTTGGAATGGTGTTCCAGTTCGATTTTTTCTTGAAGAACAGCTTTGTTCTTGTCTTCCTACTTTTCTTGCTTTTCCAGTTCAACATGGTAAAGATGCCCAAATTACTAGTTACCTTTTCTGTGATACTCCAAGATTCAACATTTTTATATTCTGTTTACTTGTGTTCGCTAGATTGGCCTAGCATTTGTGCTATCATCTTTCATTAGCAAATCATCTTCGGCTACAACTGTCGGTTTCCTTGTGTTTCTGATTGGTTTTATCACACAGGTTTGGCTCTCTCGCTAGCTGGAAACTGGTTCCTCAAAACCGTGAACTTGTTAACTAGTTGCACTTGTAACTGCAGATTGTATCAGCTACTGGATTCCCTTATACCAGCGCGTATGCTGTTTCTCGCCGGGTCATGTGGTCGCTCTTTCCACCCAACACTTTTTCTGCTGGCCTTAAGCTTCTTCTTGATGCAACTTCAACTTCCGGAAGCTCTGGAATTAGTTGGAGTGAAAGATCTTCATGCCAAGGGGGCGACGCAACTTGCGTCATTTCAATTGTATGTGGACATCCCAAATGAAATACTAGTTGTCCATTTTTCTCAAACCAACTATGTTTATCTATCTTTTTCTTGCAGAGCATTATCTACCAGTGGCTCGTCGGGACATTCCTTTTTTGGTTTGTCCTGGCCATCTACTTCGACAATATCATTCCCAACGTGTCCGGTGTAAGGAAACCGATCTTCTACTTTTTAGCACCTGGTTACTGGACTGGCAAAGGGGGCAACAAAGTGGAAGGTTCATTCTCCTCATGAACAGTTTTTTGTTTGTTTGTTTGAAAATTGTAAACCAACCATGTTCCTTAACACTTCCTACAGAAGGGAGCATTTTTAGCTGGATTGGGTCAGTTCCACCCATAGAGCACGTGACGCCAGAGGACCAAGATGTGCTTGAAGAGGAGACATTGGTCAAACAACAAGCAATGGATGGAATAGTTGATCCTAACATTGCAGTTCAGATACATGGTCTTGCAAAGACATACCCTGGAACAACAAAGCTTGGATGCTGCAAATGCACGAAAACATCTTCTTTCCATGCTGTAAAGGTATTTATTTCTGTCTTTCTTGCGAAATTTAACATGGTCGTGTGTGTTTCTATGCCAAGGCTATTAAAAAAAATCGTAATGCTCATCGTCTCTTGTGGTTTCTGACATACAACAATTCCATATCTTTTTTCGGCTTATTAGCTCATAAAATATGTTTCAGGGTTTGTGGATGAATGTTGCCAAGGATCAGTTGTTTTGTCTTCTGGGACCAAATGGCGCAGGGAAAACAACTACTATTAGTTGTTTAACCGGCATAAATCCAGTTACTGGTGGCGACGGTAAGGTTCTGTTTAGAAAAAGCTAGTTCCCACAAAGCATTATAACCATTCTAATAAGAACCATTTGATTGATTTAAAACAGCTCTTATCTATGGAGATTCCGTAAGAAGCTCTGTTGGTATGTCCAACATCCGTAAAATGATAGGAGTGTGTCCTCAGGTAGATTATTGTCATTTCGCTGAATGTCAAGCTTCTGCCATTGTCTTCTTCCACAATAGTCTTTTTCTTCTTCTACAGTTTGATATCCTTTGGGATGCTTTATCAAGTGAAGAACACCTCCACCTCTTTGCTAGCATCAAAGGGTTGCCACCTGCATTGATCAAATCGGTAACGCGGCCTGAATAATCTCAAAGTTCTGCTGAAAGATTTGAACTTTTCCGTTTCTTCTGCTTACAACTTTTATTTATGTTAACAGACTGCTGAGAAGTTACTGGAGAATGTGAAACTGACAGGAGCGGCGAAAGTTAGAGCAGGAAGTTACAGTGGTGGTATGAAACGGCGACTCAGTGTCGCAGTAGCACTCATTGGCGATCCCAAGCTGGTCTTCCTAGATGAACCGGCATGTCGTTTCTCTTTAAATACGTGTTTTTATTACATATATACATCCACACAAATCGATTAAAAATGGTGTTTTCTACATGGATTGTGTAGACAACAGGCATGGACCCTATCACGAGGAGACATGTGTGGGACATTATACAAGAGTCAAAGAAAGGTCGTGCCATCATACTAACTACACATTCTATGGAGGAAGCTGATATATTAAGTGATCGAATAGGGATCATGGCTAAGGGCAGGCTCCGCTGCATTGGGACCTCAATCAGGTTAAAATCCCGCTTCGGCACGGGCTTTGTTGCCACTGTTAGTTTCATCGATGGCAAAAAGGGCAATACAGTCCATGTTGGACTGAAGAAATTATTTGAAGAGGTAGTAAATACAGTCAAGAGAGTTTTTTTTTTAGCGGCGTTTTATATAAGTGCATGAGCTAAAAAAGGGTATTATATCTTTGTTTGCAGCGTCTGAAAGTTGAACCAGCAGAAGAAAACAAGGCTTTCATGACTTTTGTTATCCCACACGACAAAGAGAAACTTTTGACGGTAAGCATGTACAGAGCACTCTAACTCATAAACTTATAGATGTAATGATGTTCATCATTGTTTCTCAATAACGAACAGGAGTTTTTCGATGAGCTACAAAACAGAGAATCTGAATTTGGAATCTCGGACATCCAGCTCGGGCTTGCCACTCTTGAAGAGGTGTTTCTGAACATAGCAAGACGGGCAGAGCTAGAAAGCGCAACCACAGAAGGAACCATGGTCACTCTGGAGTTAGAATCAGGCATTTCAGTAGAGGTAAAATCCAATTGCATATATATATTTGTTCAAATGCAGAGTTTGAGAAATTCAAAGTTATATCTATATGTACAGATACCGGTGGGAGCAAGATTCGTTGGGATCCCTGAGACAGAAAACGCAGAGAACCCAAGTGGAGTAATGGTGGAAGTGTACTGGCAACAAGACGGGTCTGGATCGATGTGCATCTCAGGACACTCATCGGAGATGCGGGTCCCACAGAATGTTTCTGTGACACGTCCACCATCACCAAATGCACTAGGACATAAAGGGCTACGACAAGGGATTCGGGGTATCGTCATCGATCTATGAATCTTCACAAGGACAATGTTTGCTTTATTAATATTAGAGTCTGTGTACAAAGTTTAGATATTTCTTACCAAAAGCAAGCGCCAGTGAAGCCTGTACCAAAAGTTCACATTGTATTATAGTGTCCCCACACATGTCTTTTTGTGCCTTGTATTATAAGCAAACATTTTGTGCCTTTCGCTTTACAATACAATGGTATGTTGGATTTTAGGCATTTTTAACTTAATAAGGATAACAGAACAACTTTACTCACTGTTGGGTGTAAAGAAAAAGCAAACACAGAACAACTACGAACGGTTGATATATTAACGCAATAAAATCATTGCAATCTCATTCACAACCCTGTGAGTGAGTGTCTCTCCATAGCTTATTTTAAAAATAAAAAATAAAATAACAACTGGAGCATAATTAATATTAATTGTTAGGTTCATAATCAAGCACGGTACCCCGAACTCGTCGCTGCCCAAGTCCCAACACTTGTGACGATGGTTCATGTAGAACCGCAACATTCTCAGGTATCGGCATATCCGGCGAGTGTCCAGAGATGCACATTGATCCCGACCCGTCTTGTTGCCAGTACACTTCCACCATTACTCCTCGGGGATTCTCTGCGTTTTCTGTCCCAGGGATCCCTACAAATCTTGCTCCCACAGGTATCTGCACATCGAGTTTTCACACTTGTATATGTAAACTCCATTTCTTAAAGTTTGTCAAACATGTGAAATAGTAATAATTTTGATTTACCTCGACTAAGATGCCTGACTCTAACTCGAGAGTAACCATGGTTCCTTCAGCGGTTGCACTTTCTAGTTCAGCCTTTCTTGCGATGTTCAGAAACACTTCTTCCAAAGTTGCAAGCCCGATTTGGATGTCTGAGATACCAAATTCATGTTCCCTCTCTTGTAGCTCCTCGAAAAACCTCTATTTTATATATATGAGAAAAGTAATCAAGTATTATATAACCCATGAAGATGATCTACAATAGAAGACTATTAGAGCTTAAATTTCTCCACATGCGTTACCGTCAAAAGTTTCTCTTTGTCGTGTGGGATAACAAAAGTCATGAAAGCTTTTTTATCTTCTATTGGCTCAGCTTTCAGGCGCTGCAAATTAATAATTAGCACATGCTTAGAGGCAGAGCTACATCATATTATTATACAATGCTGCTAAAAAAGAAACTTATCAAGTGTATGTATATATACCTCTTTAAAGAAACTTTTCAATGGCTCAGTTGAAGTTTTGGCATCGTCATTTTTGTTTTCGATGAAGCTCACAGTAGTAATGAAACCTGTGCCGAAGCGGGATTTCAACCTGATTGAGGTTCCAATGCAGCGGAGCCTGCCTTTAGCCATGATCCCTATTCTGTCACCTAAAATATCAGCCTCTTCCATGGAATGCGTTGTTAGTATGATGGCACGACCTCTCTTTGATTCTTGTATGATGTCCCACACATGTCTCCTTGTGATTGGATCCATACCGGTAGTCTAATATAAAAAAAGCATTTAACAAAGACATAAACATTTTTGATATGTGTGTGTGTGCGTGTAAACACATTTTGTAGGAAGAAAGTAGCAAGTTACCGGTTCATCTAGAAAGACCAGCTTGGGATCACCAATGAGTGCAATTGCAACACTGAGTCTGCGTTTCATTCCACCACTGTAACTTCCTGCTCTAATTTTCGCTGCTCCTGTCAGCTTTACATCTGCAAGTAACTTCTCTGCAATCTGTGTAACGGAAAAGACAAACTTGTAAGCAAAAGAGAGGTTATGCTTGGCCAGAAGTACATGAATGACGTACCGATTTGATGGATGATGGTGGTAACCCCTTGATGCTAGCAAAGAGATGGAGATGCTCTTCACTGGACAAAGCATCCCACAGGATATCAAACTGACAAAAAAGAAAGAAGAAGAAGAAGAGTGGTGATGACATAAATCATTAAAGCAAAACAAATAGATGATCATTGTGTAAGAAAAGAGGACAATACCTGAGGACACACTCCTATCATTTTACGAATGTTGGACATACCAACAGAGCTTCTTATGGAATTACCATAAATAAGAGCTGTTCAAGTCGGATCAAAATTAGATCATGTTAGAATGGTTACAAAAAAAGTCTTCAAAATTAAGGTTAGCAAGCTTTTCTTACCATCACCAGCAGTAACTGGGTTTATGCCAGTCAAACAACTGATAGTAGTTGTTTTCCCTGCCCCATTTGGTCCGAGAAGACAAAACAACTGATCTTTGGCAATATTCATCCACAAACCCTAAAACATGTTTTCATGACTTAGCCGATGATGAGTAAATATATTGGTCGTGGTCACCAGAAAAAAATTTAACTTTTCTTCGTTCTTGTCTTTATCAGAAAAGAAAATACCTTTATAGCTTGAAAAGGGGCAGTCTTCTTGCATTTGCAGCATCCGAGCTTTGTGGTTCCGGGATATGTCTTTGCAAGACCATGTATCTGAACTGCAATGTTAGCATCATCTGTTCCATTTATTGCTTGTTGTTTGACTAATGTCTCCTCTTCAAGCACATCTTGGTCCTCTGGCGTTACATGCTCTACGGGAGGAACTGAACCAATACAGCTACAAATGCTCCCCTCTGTAGTACACAGTGTACGTTAGAAACGTACTTTGGGTTACATATTGTACCAACACAGTGAATTTTTAAGAACTGCAAGAGAAAATACCTTGCACTTTGTTTCCCTCTTTGCCAGTCCAATAACTAGGCTTTAGAAAGTAGAAGACAAATTTTCTAACACCGGATGCATTGGGAATAATATTGTCTAAGTAGACAGCTAGAAGAAACCAGAAAAGAAATGTCCCCGAAAGCCATATGAAGATTTTATTCTGCCAAAGAGATATCTTTTTCCTCAGAGAATAACTCTTTTAAGATTTCAAATCTATATATATCTCCGAAAGGTTTTGACATACCATTGTAAGAAAGCATGCGGCTGATCTACATACTGATCTTTCACTCCAACTAATTCCAGAGACTCCAGGAGTTGAGTTTGCCTCAATAAGAATCTGCACACCTTTAGAAAAAGTATTCGGTGGAAAGAATGACCAAACCACGCGGCTAGTAACTGAATGTCCGCTCGAATAAGGGAAACTATCTGATACAATCTGCAATTTTCAAAACTAGAGCTAGTAAGAATCTCAAGACTTTCAAGAACTTAGTGGTTAAAAGAAAGAGAAAGGCACCAAACCTGTGTGATGAAAGAAACCAGAAACACAAGGAAACCGATGGTTGTTGCTGAAGATGATTTGCTAATGAAAGCCGAGAGCACGAACGCTAGGCTAATCTGGCAACAAACAAAAAATAATATAAGCGATGATGCCTCAGCCAGAGATGAAAAGAGACATACATTAGAGAAAATTGAGGATGCTTTACCATATTCAACTGAAAAAGCCAGAAAAGTAGGAAGACTACAAAAAAGCTGTTCTTTAAGAAAAAACTGAAGTGGAACATCATTCCAAAGAGGACCAAGGAGAGTGAGGAGACAAAGGTGAGGATTCCTTCCCATGTGAGCCATGAGAACCAGTAAGCTGTGTCGAAAACTCCCATCATTGTCATCGCTTGCCGGAGTTTAAGCTCTTTCTCGGTAACCAAAGAACCGAGCTGGGTGACGAAACCAAGCATGGAGAAAGCAAGAAAGAAGACCGGCCCCATAATACTTATTGCAGAAGTAGTTACGGTTCCACTGATAGCTGGGCTCGCAAACTGCTTGAATCCAAAACCCCAACTAAACTTTGGATCTGAGAATGTTATAAAGAGACATTTATTATTTCAAGAAAAAAAAATGTACAAGAAAGCAACCACATTTCCAAAATTTCAAGAATGGTGTACCTCCGATTAAAGACCTGGCGATCTCACGCTCTGCAGCGATTTGGAGAGGAACAAGGAACTTAAAGGTTGGGTCTTCAACACGACCACGTCTTTTCACCGACGAGGAATTTGTCTGAACCCCATAGCTTATTACAGAAGCATTCATTTCTGCAAAATGCAAAGCTCCTGGGACTTGCAAAGGATGTGACAGAAGCCATGAATCTACCTCCTCAGGCCCTTTGAATGATTGAACCTGAATCACACCATTTTTTCACATTCTGCTTCATTTTTGATTCACGTCACAGAAAACACACTAAAACCCCATCGAAATGTTTTTGTCATTAAAGGGAAAAAAAAAAGAAAAAGAAGGAAGAAGGAAGTTTAAACCTTGTTGCTCGGAATTGGTCTTCCCGGATTGTTGGTCATGATAGCAGAGACAATGTCAGTGACACGACGGCTCTGGTTCCCACTCCAGAGGAAGTCATAGCAGGGAAGTCTCACGAATAACTTATCCTCACAAGGTGGAATCGGAGGTGAGACTAATGCCTTAGGGTCGGTGACATTTTTGTGCCTCGTCGAGGTTAGATCGTTCGCCTTCATCGCTTCCTGGATACAGAAAATGACAAGGATGAAGAAGAACGAGGAGAAGAGTTGGAGACACGTGGCGCTCTTGTTCCTCCATGATAGCAGCAGATTCTTCTTGAACAGCGCCGTGAACTGCTGGTGGAGAAGCGGCAAGCCTCCTCGCAGAGTCATTATCAGAGGAAGAAGACGATTGGACGCTTTCCTTGTTCTTTTATTTTTCTTTAAATAAAAAATTATGTTGTGTTAATTAATTATGTCTATGTTTAAAATTGCTTAAGGAAACGCTTGTGAAAAAACTGATTATAAACACCGTTGATAAGGGACTCTCGTTAATTACAAAATTAAATAGGAATCCTACTACTGTTAAAGCTAGCAAAAAATTGTAATAATTAGAATTTCGAAAGAAATGATACTTTTCCAATTCTGTGTAATTCATCCATGATTTTTAATTTAATATTAAAAACGCATTTTCTAAAATAGTAGTAATTGCCATGATTTTAATTTAATTCTATCTTTTCCGTTTCTACTTCAAAATTGAATTATTTCCAATTACCCATTGTTGATATGTTTGGAATGAAATCTGGAATTAGGAAAGGGGGGTGATGTGATGTATATCACATTGTTGTTACACTATATGCAACCAAATTTTGATAATTATGTTGATAAGAGGCCAGGATTTTGGGTTACTGTATTATCAATTATGATTCGATTATAATTACAACATTTACATGGCTGATTGATTTTCTTTATTTTTTTCCTTTAAAAGGTGATTAAATTAATTTTTCTCATTAATGCTGGAAACCGTGTGAAGTAATAAGTCCCTATTTTAGTAATCCAAAAAAGACCCCCCCAAAAAAAAAAAACAAATAAAACCGAAAAAGGTAGTGTTCAGTAAGAAAAAAACGGAGGAAAAGATCCCCACAAATTTAAGACAAACAAAGCTTCTTTCTTTCATCAATGGCGACTCATGGTCAAGCCAGTTTCTGGGCTCAGGCAAATGCGTTACTCAGAAAGAACTTAACTTACCAGGTACATGTTTATGCCTTTTCCGTTTCCTCTACGAAATCTGGTACATGTGTGTGTGCCACTTGATGGATCATCTCTACTTCTCCAGATTAAAATTTAATACTACTGCTTCTTCGAATTCTCACAAGAATTTTTTTTTTTTTTTTTGTTGGTGCAGAGGAAAAACATATGGACGAATGTTAGGCTAGTCCTGGTTCCACTCTTCCTTTGCTTAATCCTCCTGGCGATTCAGCTCTTGTTTGATTCTCTGATGAATTCCGTCTCAGATAAGTGTGGAACTAATAATGATTTTCAAAGCACTGATTGTCCCATCCCAAACCCTCCATTGTTGCCTCCGATGTTAGCGATTCCACAACCTAAATCTCGTGCTGTTAAAGCTAATTTTTTCCCTTACAATGACCTTCCTCTAGAGTCTTGTAGAAAAACAGGAACTTGTCCTGTAACTATACTTTTTACTGGGAGTAACCATTCTTTTGGTAAAGGTAGTTTACGTTTTGCCTTCTTCTTTCTTCATACACATCTATTTTCGTGTTGCTTCCAAACTCATCTACTGTGTGTTTATGCAGCGTTATCCGGGAACATCTTTGGTGGTTCTTTCGCCGTGAATACCTCCGACCTCTTGCCTAGTTTAGCCCATAATGTCTTGGTATATTTTGCTATTTCTTTTCCACATCTATCTATCTCTATGTCTCTGGTTTTTAACTAAAGGTCATGACTTTTCAGGCTGCGACACAAGAAACAGGGGATAACAATTATGCAGATCCAGCAATTAGCAAGGATTTTCCAGTCTACAATATCCAACCTCAGTGCAGTCCAAACTCTACATGGCCACTCTCATTTGGACAAACTAAGACAGGTATTCTTATCCTGTCTCAGAAGATGGTGAATCAATCTATAAGTTCATTTCTATTGGAAGTCTCTTTTTCATATAGGGTATCTCATACATAATATAGTAAAAAATAAAGAAAATGTAGAGAGACTTTTCTTAAATGAAAGATAATTAGATATCTTATCATGGTTTAGTTTTTTTAAATTTTAGTAAATCATACAATAAAATTAATTATCTATCAAGTTCCATTTTAAATAATTTTTAATTCATTTAGTTAAAATTGATTAATAGCATTATATTAAATTAATGATATACTGTACTAGTTAATACAATAATAGAAAATAGTAGAAAATTAAAATAATGTGATATTGAAAAAAAATCAAAAATTTGGAGATAATGTGATATGTTTAAAGTATTAATGGAAATGATTTAATTTAAGATAAAATTTAACATTTATCTTTAAATTAAACTATGCTTAAAAATTAAATTTATACTAAAATTATTAATCTACCTTAAATATCAATAAGAGATTTTAGTGAACATTTTGCCAATGAATATGAAAATTTATTATGAGTTTTTCAAAATAAAATATAATAAAAATAAAAATATTATATTGATGACAGTGTTTTTGTATCTAATTATCACAGCGGTGAAGTGTGTTCAAGGGTTGAGCCTCTGGAGAAATACCTCTGCAGCGATCAATGATGAGCTTTTCAAAGGCAGTTGGAGAGGAAATCCTGAGCGGTTGACAAATGAGATTGCTGCAGGTTCCTTAAGTTTCTCTGCCATTTTTATATTAGACGCTTAGCTTAGTATTCACCTCTGATTTCCTAACTGTTGATGTGTGTTTCATTGCCTTAGCATACGATCTCTTGAGTACGGATGGGAAGAACTTCAATGTGACCATCTGGTATAACTCTACAAACACTGACGGTTCTTCAGGTCAACGTCTGGTCCGAGTTCCTCGCCTGATCAGTCTGGTATGAACTTCTTACGCCATGCTATATGCTCTTTTTCTACATGTTTCTTTAATTGCACCGGTCCAAATCCAATGTTTCACGCCCTGTAAAACTGCAGATATCAAATGCTTATCTAAAGTTTCTGAAAGGCCCCGGGACAAGTATATTATTCCAGTTTGTCAAAGAAGTTCCTAGACACGGATCTAAATCCAATACAGATATCGCATCCTTGCTTGGCCCGCTTTTCTTCACATGGGTCGTTCTTCTTTTGTTCCCCGTAAGTTTCGATCTTGTAATCAATGAATGTTGTTGTTGTTGTCCCATCGTATGTAAAAAAAATAACTAGCTAGAAAAAATCTTGCAGGTGATCTTGACATCGTTGGTGTATGAGAAACAAGAGCGTCTAAGAATTATAATGAAGATGCACGGTTTAGGCGATGGTCCATACTGGATGATCTCCTACGCCTACTTTCTCACCATATCTTTTCTGTACGTTGTTTCGTTGGTCATCTTCGGGTCAGCCATTGGACTTAAGTACTTCCGTATCAATGACTATAGCATCCAGTTCGTTTTCTATTTTATCTTCATCAATCTGCAAATCGCCTTCGCCTTTCTAGTTTCTTTAGTATTCTCAAAGGTTAAGACTGTTACAGGTACTAACATGATCACACTTCTTGAATTTGATAAATACTCGAGTGAAATTTTCCAACGACCTCTTGAATTTTGTAGTTTTGGCTTACATTTTGGTGTTTGGAAGTGGGCTCTTGGGAAGCTCCCTCTTCGAAGAGCTGCTTGAAAGTCCCTCATTCCCTGGTATAGTTAACAAAGATTCAATACCTAGAAGAACAAATACACATGTTTATATATGACCACACAGCTTGTTAACTAGTATATTTGACCTTGACAGATATATGGATCCTTGCCTTGGAGTTGTATCCAGGCTTTGCCTTATACCGCGGATTGTATGAGTTCTCGCAATCTGCATTCCGTGGAAACGGGATGAAGTGGGAGAATGTCAGCGAAGCCGGGATGAATAAACTGTTCATCATCATGTCAGTGGAATGGCTTGTGATTCTCATTGTCGCCTACCAAATCGATCAGGTTTCTTCATCAGGGAGAAGCATTTTCTTTTGCTTCAAGAAATCTTCTTCCCTATCAAGTCCTAGCACGCAGAGGCAAAGCTCTGACGACGGCGTCCTCATTGACATGGAAAAACCAGATGTAGCTCAAGAGGTATAGCCAAAAAAAAAATCAAGTAAATTTTTTCTAGTTTCTTTCCATGTTATCGTTTCAAGTTGTTCTGATAATAAAAAAAGTGAAAATATTCAGAGGGAAAAGGTTCAACAATTGAGGAAGGAAGGTAGCACAGGGCACGCCATCGTGTGTGACAACCTGAGGAAGGTGTATCCAGGTACAGATGGTAACCCTAAAAAACTAGCAGTAAGAGGGTTATATCTGGACGTGCCTTCAGGGGAATGCTTTGGGATGCTTGGACCCAATGGTGCAGGGAAAACCTCTTTCATCAATATGGTCAGTACTTTCACAAAATCACTCTCTCTCTCTTACACGTAAACAACGTTTAGAGTGTTGAGTTTTGTCATTTTCTTCTGTTGCGCTAGATGACTGGCCTCCTGAAACCCACATCTGGAACTGCGTTGGTTCAAGGTTTTGACATATGCAAGGATATGAACAAAGTTTACACGAGCATGGGAGTATGCCCGCAGCACGAGTAAATAAATAATACTCTTAACAACACTTTTTGCATTTAGTTTCATTACCAAAGCAAGAAAAAACTCTGTATTTATATGTCATTGTCTTGGTTTCAGCTTGCTTTGGGAGACGCTGACAGGAAGGGAGCATCTTTTGTTTTACGGGCGACTCAAGAATATCAAGGGCTCTGCTCTAACGCAAGTATGTATAATTGGCTTTGCTACATTCTTGTATATGTTATTATTATACTCCAGAAGACAAATGTTATATATATGAATCATTTTCTAGGCTGTGGAAGAGTCTCTCAAAAGCGTGAGCCTCTTCGATGGAGGAGTAGCTGACAAACCTGCTGGAAAATACAGCGGAGGTATGAAAAGGCGACTTAGTGTGGCCATTTCGCTTATCGGGAACCCACAGGTACATCATCTCCTCGTCTCTTGTTATGTGGTTTTTTCAGCAATGGCCCTAATTTCATTATCTGATGTTGTTAAAACAAGGTGGTTTACATGGATGAGCCTAGCACTGGACTTGATCCAGCCTCAAGAAACAACTTATGGACCGTGATCCAGCGTGCAAAACAAAACACAGCCATCATCCTCACAAGTATTTACAATCTCTTTCTTCTGATCTCTTTTACATATGAATCTGATTGATAATCTGAGCTGAAATTCAATGTCTCTTAAGAATCATTTCGTTTCTTTAAGCATTTTAACCTAGAGAAACTTGGCCCTCGGTTTTTCTCAGCTCACTCAATGGAAGAAGCAGAGTTTCTCTGCGACCGATTGGGGATTTTTGTAGACGGAGGTTTGCAATGCATAGGAAACCCCAAGGAGCTCAAGGGAAGGTACGGTGGGTCGTATGTCTTCACCATGACGACCTCATCAGAACACGAGGAGAAAGTAGAGAGAATGGTTCAACATATTTCACCAAACGCCAAGAAAGTGTATCATCTTGCTGGAACGCAGAAGTTCGAGATCCCAAAGCAAGAAGTCATGATTGCAGATTTGTTTTCGATGGTGGAGAAGGCCAAAAGCAAATTCACTGTTTTCGCTTGGGGACTCGCTGACACAACTCTCGAAGACGTCTTCTTCAAGGTTGCTACTCAAGCCTTCAGTTCCTCCTAGTCCTAATATTCGTATGATATGTTTCACCCTACCTTGGGTATCACGCTATTAATATTGATTCAAGTTAGGGTTTCTCATTGGCACCATCTGTACCAACCGACCGGTCAGACTCGTAAAATCTGCTACGGTTAGATCTTAAATCGAGAAATAATTAAAATTCCGACAAAATTTTTCAGTCCGACCAGTTCTCGAGTTCAAGATCCTTTATATTGACTAAAACGATTGGAAAAACTACAAACTATGGTCTACTTTTGTCGATGTTATAACACGAAAAAAAAAGTTTTTGGTATGATTTTGATTAAAAGCATTGTGATGAGAAGGAGAAACACTCTAAAGCTCATCATGGTCCGTGACTCCGGAGCCAGAGACTAACGACCTCGTCATGTTCACTAAACGCTCTTGATCGATCCCAAGCACGCCTCCAATATTCACGACTCCAGGATTCTGGCTATTGTAAAACGAGAGAGCCGTGGCTCGTTCGAAGCCACCGCTCAAGCAGAAATGAAGCAGTCCTTTAGGGAAGACAAAGACATCGCCTTTTCGCAGAACCGTCTGAAAAATCTTGTCGTTGGTATCTACGAATCCAGCAAACACGACTCCACTTACCACAAAGAGCATCTCCGATGACCTCGGATGCGAATGGAACGGCACGGATCCGTCACGATCGAGGTCAGTGCGAGAGACCGAGAGGCCGAGAGTGTTGAGACCTGGAAACTCTGATGCAGTGAGCATTGTGACACTCGACTGGAGATAATTATCCGTGTCCCCAGCAACTGTAAGTTTGGTGGACTTAAAATCCTGAGCGTTGATCTCGGCCGGATTCTTGCAAGAATAGCCGTTGATGAAGTACATGCTCTGTTCTCCTGGAGCCGTCGGACACGTGTCCTGCATATTGTCTGGATCTGCGGAGGCAGATAAGAAGATTGCACAAAACACGATCAAGACGAAGAATTCCATCCTAGTGAATTGTGATAAAGAGTGCTTAGTGGCTCTTTGAGTAAACAGATATAAACAGAAACAGAGCGTTATGTGGCTTAGAGTTGAGTACACTACTTAGTGGCTCTTTGAGTAAGATTATGTTCTAAGGTGAAAAACGCTTCTAAGTAATACTTTTCACTTATCTTCAAGCTTACTGATGTTAATATTATTTACTCCTTCAAGCTCTAATTTGCTGTTAACCTGAAAATGCATTTTTGCTTGCTATAACAGAAAAACAGAGAAGCATCCATCACTATGCCTTGCTTACTTATTTCATGATGTTGACATTATTACTTCCACGCTTAGCTTCCTTCCATGGAAATTTCGATATTCCTCATATGAAAAGCACAGTACAATGGTTTGGTTCAGTAGGTTACAACCAAATTATACAATTGAAGGAGACAATAAGTTCATCATATCCAAACCCAATTAGCCCCAAGCAAAAGGAAGAACTGGAGATTATTTAGTGAGAAAGAAACACGCTTCTCTATTTCCCGTTTTCAATCCCGCAAGCATCGGTCTCATCGCGGTTGTCAGAGCTCTCAAGAACATCTTTGATGAATTTTATGAAGGAGCAGAGTCCACCCAAGAAATTATGGTCGATGACGCCGTTTCCATCAAGAACATGCGCGAAATCCACCAGCTTTACTTGTGCCCGCGCGTCTTCCTTTCCTTTCATCAAGATGGATTCGTCCTCATAAACCATCAGAATCGAGCAAGAATTGAAATGGTAAAGCGTTTGGGTTTCAAACCAAGCCTTGAGCTCCAACAACTGCGACAAGATCCCATTAGAACCGCCATACACATCCGACGCAAAGGCACAGTTTGGTGCCGAGCTCGAGTCAGCAAGGGAGTTCGACGACACAAACTTCCTCAGAGCCAACCTAGCGCCATCGACTTTGTACCCAAGAACAACCTTCTTCTCCGGTCTCCAAAAGCTCGATTCTTGGTGGTCGAAAATCTTGAAACCCGAAACCCTGAACCCCAACGAAACCGTGGTGGTCGCTCTGTCTTTCTTTATGCACTTCTTGAAGTATTCCTCCGACACATCCGGATACCATGTTCTAGACCCGATCTTGACATCCATTATCGACGGGTTCGAGTACCCCGAGACAACGTCTTCAAGAACCATGTGTGGAAGCTTGCCAGATCCATCGGATGCTTCAACTAGCTCAGTCCCGTGGTACACCGGGAAGTATCTGTGGATGTGATCTGGAACAGTCTTGTTCGACGAGAAGGACTCATAGAACTTAGCCTCGTTTTCCCCACGAGCATCTCCTTGAAGTGGCTTGAAGAATCGGCCTTCGTCGTCCACGAGCGGACCAAGCTTCCCATCTCTAGCAATGTGACCAGCAACTTGGTGTTCAGGGACCTTGAGCATCTTTCTGCAACAGTATATATGATTGACCAATAAGAAATCAAATTCACCATAACGTTTACAGATCATTGATCAATTTCAAAGGTAAGTTGAAATCAAAGTATCACACGAACAAACAAGACAGAGCTGTAAAGTTTCATCCTTTAATTACCAGGAAGCTATACAGTAGAATCAGAAGGAGAAACACAAACCAACCAAACGCAAAATCCAGAATTAGCGTACGGAATCTGATTAGGGCTCTTCAATTCTATCCACATAACAAAGAGAAAAACAAAAACCCAATAATCACGTGGCGCCTATTAGAATTCCTCGAGTTCATCGCAGAAGAAGAGAAAGTTAAAAAAGCGCTAAAAAGGGGGAAATGAAACAAACCCAGAATCAACACCATGAGACAAAATAATATAATCTGAGATCTCTAAAAGCGTATTAAAAAGTTAACAATCTTTCGATTAGAAAATGCATTGAATGAAACTTTTAGAAAGTGTGATTTTTGATAACAGATATATAATGTATAACTGAGTTGGAGCAACACGATGAACTGGACTCCGAGATAAAAGATTAATCACAGAGATTTTCAACATTGAGGAAGAAAAGTTTACCCAAGAAATCTCTTCGGAGATATTTTGATGCCGATGACCAAAGATGAAAATTGTGTAATTGTTCCAAGAAAAAAAATATACTAAGCTATCTTGTCGGGAAGACGAATAAATTAAATAATTAATTAATAAGAATAAATTCTCTTTTGCGAAAAGCAATTGAACCAACTAAACCGGACTCGTGAAAAGACAATTACGTAAACGAATTTTAGAGAAAACCGGTTTGAGCATATAGGGCTTCATCATCTGATAGAAATAAAAAAACTTGCAGTTTTAACAAATCGGCCGCCATCATCAATAGTTCGACAGTGCTCTCTGTTTATCGTTATTGTTGAATCATCTATAGTTCTGGGTATATTCCGACAACCCTAATTTAGAGCTCATCCTCTGTTGATATTCTCTCTCAGGATATCTAAGCAGGTTTTGATTTGCTTTTGAACTTCAGTGTTTCGTCTTTGTACTAATGAATACGATTTTCTCTTTCCAGAATCTGTGAAGCTCACCATAAGAAGTAAATGGCTCGTTTCAGAAACGTAAGTGGAAAACGTTCCTTTACCAATTCGTGTTCCTTTCCATTAATATGTGTTTACTGGTTGTTTTGTTTAACACTTTATGGTGATGTAGAATAAGAAGGGTAGGGTCGCTGTGAAGCCAATAGTGAAGAAGAATCAAGCGAATGTTGATCATGTCACTGGTGATAAGATCCCCAAGAGTTTTGTCTTCTCAAGAATGAAACTTCCTGGCCCTGTCAGACAACTTCAGATGGATTTGAGGAAGCTCATGCTTCCCTACACTGCTCTCAGTCTAAAGGTCAGTTTGATTATGTTTGTACTTGTGGCAAAACCAAACCTGGAGAAAAAGAAAAAAAAGGGCTTCATATGTTTCAACATTACTGATGCAAGTTGTTGTCTTTTTTTTTTCATCTTCTTCCCTTTGCAGGAGAAGAAGAGGAACACTTTAAGGGACTTTTTGAACGTATCAGGTCCAATGGGCGTTACGCATTTCCTTATGCTAGCGAAAACAGCATCTGCACTGACTCTAAAAGTAGCAAGAACCCCTCAGGGCCCGACTCTCACGTTCAAAATTCATCAGTATTCCTTAGCATCGGATATAGCTCAGTCTCAGCTTCGGCCTAGATGTCCTGCAGATCTTTTCAAGACTCCCCCTTTGGTAACCAATCTCAATCTCTCTTTACTTACTTCATATTTGTTTTTTTTTTGTAAGTTTGTGGGTTTTGGCTATTATCTTGAGAATGTTGATTCTTGTTGGGTTTAGATTGTTCTTTCCGGATTCGGTACTCAGGAGATGCATCTGAAGCTGGCAACGATTATGTTTCAGAACATATTCCCTTCTATTGATATCAACACTGTGAGTTTGTTGCCGAGAAGATAATATATGTGTTTATATTGCTGATTGTAACTTGTTGCAGCGATTTGATTTATGTTCTTGTGATGGTGAAATAAAATGTCCAGGTCAAGCTCTCCACATGCCAGAGATTAGTACTATTGAACTACAACAAAGACACAAAGCTCATTGATTTCCGGCATTATTCTATAAGGCTCCAGCCTGTAGGAGTGTCTCGTAGGATCAGAAAGTTTGTGCAAAACCACCAGGTCCCTGATCTCAGGAATCTGCAGGATGTTAGTGATTTTGTTACCAAGTAAGGATCTTCATTGGTAACAATGTGTTTTTTCCTTTATTCCTCTCTATATCAGTGTATCATTTTGATTGCTGTTGGCTTTTATTTCAGGGCTGGTTATGGATCAGAGAGCGAAGGAGATGAAGAAGCGGCAACGGTGACACTATCATCTGATCTGGGCCGAGTTAACCGGAATTCTACAAAGAGCGCAGTGAAACTGCAAGAAATTGGACCGAGGATGACTATGCAGCTCGTTAAAGTGGAGGAAGGATTGTGTTCAGGAGGAATCATATTCAGTGAATATGGTAAACGTTAATCTTATCCTCCCTCATATTTGTGGTTTTGAATCTTGTCTATTACACCAGGACGAATCAACTGATTACGGGTTTATGTGGGTTTGTTTCAGAAAATGTGGATGAAAAGGAAGCTGAGAAGAAGCAAGATGAAGATGGTGATGATAGCGAAGAAGAAGAAGAAGAAGGTGAAGAGGGTAGTGAAGAAGATGGAGAAGACATGGATGAAGATCTTGAAGATTGAAAACAATTATAGAGTAACGCTGTGTGTATCTTCTTCACATCAAGTTTTGTTATTTGGATCTTTAAGTAATGATGTCTTATTAAAAAACAAAGGAGCACAATTCGTCAAAAACCCGTGGAAACAACTTTTGCTAAGATATATCAGTTTCTCGATGAAGTTTTATAAAACTGTAACTTTGGAGTCAAATGAAAAACATATAAATATCAGTTTTCTTTTGCATATTGTCAGCTGCTAATTACTCACTTTTAATGGATTAGTTTACCTCGTTAAATTTTAAGTTTGGATCAAATAATAAAGAGAGGCCTAACGGTATATGTTTGAAAGAATAAATGGCCCACGATTAATGGATATGGTACTGTCAGAAGATGTAAAAAGAAAAGAAAAATCTAGAAGAAGTTTTACTTTCAGTTAAAGAACATCTGTAATGAAAATATTGAGATATTTATATTAAATGTATAATATAATGTGTATGCAGATAAAGTACAAAAGACGAAAGTACAAACATTTGAGGTGTACTGTATTGAGAAATCTAACGGCTTTCCGTTTCGATTCATACGTATCAAAATTCTATGTATACGCAAGGAAAATCGTATTATATCATATATGCACCGTATTTTATTTACCCGCCATATCTTGCTCTATCATTTACTGCGACAGGCAAAATTAAGTGGGAGTTATTGATTCTTGTATTTTGGTGGATTTATAAATCTTTTTTGAATTTGATAAATTTATTGATTTCAAAATCAGCCAAATGGAATAAAATCAAATCCACTCAAATATCAATGTTAGATTTTATATTTGGATATTTGTATTTTAGTCATAAAAATCCTTCTAAATCTATTCAAATTCAATTAAAACTCAAATCCTTATAATATTTAGATTTTAAAATGATAGAACCAATAACACTGTATTTTATTATGAATTTTAAAATTATAGAACTAATAACACTGTATTTCAATATAAATTTTAAAATACAAGAACCAATAACATTCAATTTAGTTTAAATTCTCAAATTCATTAAAATACAAAAACCAAGTTAGGAGAATTCTAAATTAGATCATTATCTCTGATGGTTTAATATGGTTTGAGAGTAGGACAAAATATGATATTGATAGAAAGTGACAAAAAAAAGTTATCACCAAAGGTGAAAAAGCTAGATTTGGTTGGAAGTAGGTGGATCGTGGACAACTTAAATTTCAGACCGAATCGAATTTAAGACCAAATCCGTCGAAGAACGAGCTAATTAAAACGTACAAGCAAAAAAAAAACGTGTTTCTCCTCGAGTGTATTCCATTTTATCATGGATTTATTACATATTAAATGCTTTTTTTTTCTTTTCTTTTTCACATGCAAATCATTCTTCAACGAATTAATGTATTTTTTTGCTTTAAATAAAATTATTTTTCTCATTTGTTTATTAGACTCATAATATAGTTCACAATTTTCACCTCATGCTCTCTATCCTTGAAAGTAATGTTACTTTTTTTGTTTTTGATTTTGATTTTATTTTATTTATAAAATAAGAATACCACAATGAAACTACAGTAGACCCTGCCACTGGGAGCGAAACAGGAGAATAAAAGAAATTGTATATATTTCCTCAAAACAAACTATTTCCCGCAAAAGCCAAATCTAATGTATTAATGGCATTTAGTCGTAATATATTCGAATGTATGGGGGTAAATGCCTTTACAGACTTAATATCCGCTATATTTCTCATGATGTCCTCGTTTATATTTCTCTCGTCCACCTCCTCTGCATAATCTTCTTCTGAGCTCTCTCTCCATCTTGAGATCCGTTCTTAAGTCTCTCTCTTTCTCTCTTCAATTCTCCTCAGCTCTTTGTTTCAATCTCAGACTGAATCATAGAGAATTAAGATAGTTTTTCGTTACTCTTTTTTCCCCATTCTCCAGATCTAGTTTTCCCATCACGGATAAATCCAGGTGCGTTCATCGGAATTATCAAATGAATTATCGTTAGATCTATCTGTTTGTTGATTCAAAATGGATGTATTATTAGATTGAAACCTGATCTTTCTCTCTTGTCGTGTTGCGATCGCGCGTTTTAATTCCTCGTTTTCGATTTGTGAGAATTGGTTTTTTGTCTGTTAGCTCGATCCAACACTGTGGTGTAGATCGAGGCGAATGTAGAGCTTCGTGATGCTACTTTAATGAATGCATGTTGGGAGTTTTCTTGCGATTCAATTTTTTTTTTTTTTTTCCGTATAATTCAATTGTAATTAACATTACCGATCTGAGAGAGAATTTCGAATTGTGGTCGTGCTTATTGATTTAAAAGAGCTAAAATTGAAGTATGGATCAGATAAAAACCAATGCATTATGTTGAAAAAGAATATAACTTTTTACGAAAACTTTACTCTCATTTCCGAGTGTTGTTTTAGTGCTGCTGTTTTTGAATGTGGTAACCTTTTTGAAAGATAACTATTTGTTGATTATTTTTGTTTTGTTGCTGGTGCAGGTCTTAGCCAGAAAACATGGCGTCCGTGGCAGCAACTGAGAACCAGTGGCTCAAAGGGAGGGTGAAGGCTGTTACCTCCGGAGACTGCTTGGTGATCACCGCTTTGACCCACAACAGGCCTGGCCCACCACCGGAAAAGACCATCACTCTATCTTCTCTTATGGCTCCTAAAGTGGTGAGCCTAATACAAAGTCGTAGTCTTTTTTCCAATCAAGCTCACCCCACTTTTTTGCTAACAAAAGTTTTCAAACTTTAGAAACCAATTTTTTTCGGGATATATGGATATTTCAGTAATAATAATTAATCTATACAAAACAATCATTGGTGCTTTATGTTTAAAAGCTTTGCTTACATGATCTTTGTTTGTATATGCATTCTCATTGTTTGGTTTGCCCTTGTTTCAGGCTCGCAGGGGAGGTTCAGATGAGTATTTTGCATGGGAAAGCAGGGAATTTCTAAGGAAGCTTTGCATTGGAAAGGTGCTAAGTTGAACTCTTAAATCACTTATGCTATAGATTAGTAATTGACAATGTTTCTGCATATTAACAACTGGAATTCTTTTGTATTTTTTTTTTCTTGTGCAGGAGGTTGCTTTCAAAGTGGATTACAAAATAGAAGCTATTGCTGGAAGAGAATTTGGCTCGGTTTACCTTGGCAACGAAAATCTTGCTAAGCTCGTTGTTCAGAGTGGTTGGGCTAAGGTGATAACTATTTTATATTACTAGATAGCCTTGTCTAAGGTATGATGCTTGTGTCAGCTTTCTGATACGGTGGAGGAATGCCTGTACTATGTACAGGTGAGACCGCCAGGTCAGCAGAATCAGGATAAGGTCAGTCCTTACATTACGGAGCTGTTACAGCTTGAAGAGCTGGCTAAGCAGGAAGGGTTTGGGCTTTGGAGCAAGGTTTGTGCCTCTTTTTCTGTTTCTTAACCACTGAGAAATATTATTTGAGAGTTGACTGATCAGACTCAGTTTGACTTCTGTAATCTTTCTTGACTTTGTGATCGGATTTACTTGATCCAGGTTCCTGGTGCAGCTGAGGCATCTGTTAGGAAACTCCCTCCTTCTGCTGTTGGGGATTCTGGGAATTTTGATGCCATGGGTCTTTTAGCCGCAAGTAAAGGCAAGCCCATGGAAGGTATTGTTGAGCAAGTCCGCGATGGCAGTACCATCCGGGTCTATCTTCTTCCTGAATTTCAGTTTGTGCAAGTCTTTGTTGCTGGACTCCAGGTGTGTAATCTTTTTTCTTCTTTTTTGCTGTGTGAGGAGTTGACATTTGACTTCCATGGTGTAAGAGTGTTTGATATTTTCTCTGTAGGCTCCATCGATGGGAAGGAGATCTACACAAGAAACTGTTGTTGAGCCAGATTGTACATCAGCTCCGAACGGAGATGCTTCTGCTGAGCCTCGTGGTCCTCTAACATCAGCCCAGAGACTCGCTGCCTCAGCAGCGTCGTCCGTCGAGGCTTCCTCTGATCCGTTTGCAATGGAAGCCAAGTATTTTACTGAGCTTCGTGTTCTTAATAGAGATGTAAGGAGGCATTGCAACAAAATTAACTACTCACATGCAGATGTATTTAAAATCTAGATGATCTAACTGTGAGCTGGATTTTGCAGGTTCGCATTGTTCTTGAAGGGGTTGACAAATTCAACAATCTGATTGGGTCAGTTTACTATTCGGATGGAGAAACAGTTAAAGACCTGGGTTTGGAGCTGGTTGAAAATGTATGTGTCTAAATAAAACTGTTATTTTGTTTTCGACATGATTACATATTGAACTAATAGGCCAATAAAAGTTCGACTTTACCACTACGGTATGGTATAACTACAGATACTACAACTAGAAATTTTCTTCTATCTATTTGACCTGTTCTTACTGAAGGCTAAGTTGGTGGCCCAGTGTAATAATTTAGTTTTGGCACATCGTTTCTTAAATACGTAGTCACTGGAAAATATTATATACTACAGATGTTGGACAAAAGTTATGACGTTGGTTGCTATTCCTTTTGCTCAGGGTCTTGCCAAGTATGTTGAGTGGAGCGCAAACATGATGGAGGAAGAAGCCAAAAAGAAGTTGAAAGCTGCAGAGCTTCAATGCAAGAAAAACCGGGTGAAAATGTGGGCAAACTATGTCCCTCCAGCTAGTAACTCGAAGGCGATTCATGACCAGAACTTCACCGGAAAGGTAATAGGTTGTTGTACGAATTTCTTGCTAAATATATTGCCTTTCACCAGTTCTTATCATAGAACTTTACTAGTTTGTACTCTCTTCAGGTAGTGGAAGTTGTGAGCGGGGACTGCTTAGTAGTTGCTGATGATTCTATCCCATTCGGGAGCCCAATGGCAGAGCGCAGAGTCTGTCTTTCTAGTATAAGGTCTCCTAAAATAGGTAACCCACGCAGAGAGGAGAAACCTGCCCCTTATGCTCGGGAAGCCAGAGAGTTTCTCAGACAAAGGCTTATTGGAAAACAGGTATTTATTGCTTTGTGTCTTCATATTTAATTTATTGCGTTGTGCCACACAGGAGCAAGATCTCTGACTTTCTTTCTCCCCGATGCAGGTTATCGTTCAAATGGAATACTCAAGGAAAATCAGCCCAGCAGATGGTGTTACTACTTCTGGAGCTGGTGATTCTAGAGTCATGGATTTTGGCTCAGTGTTTCTTCCATCTGCTACCAAGGCTGATACAGCTGAAGCCGCTGCAGCAGCTGTTGGAGTTAATATTGCTGAACTCATTATTGCCCGTGGCTTTGGGACTGTGGTTAGACATCGCGACTTTGAAGAAAGGTCAAACCACTACGACGCTCTTCTGGCTGCCGAAGCTCGTGCTATTGCTGGAAAGAAGGGAATCCAATCTGCAAAGGATTCTCCAGCCATGCACATCACAGACCTGACTGTAGCCTCGGCCAAGAAGGCTAAAGATTTCCTGCCATCCCTGCACAGAAGTAGGAGAATATCTGCTGTTGTGGAATATGTCCTGAGCGGACATCGGTTCAAGCTATACATTCCAAAAGAAACATGTAGTATTGCCTTTGCATTCTCTGGTGTCAGATGTCCTGGCCGCGGTGAACCCTATTCAGAAGAAGCTATTGCTTTAATGAGACGTAAGATCATGCAGAGAGATGTCGAGGTAAATGGACATGTTACGCCCAATATATATCTTATTTTTTCCTCTCTTTTCTATATGAGTCTTACATAGTCTTTTGTTATCACAGATCGAAGTTGAAACTGTGGATAGAACCGGGACTTTCTTGGGATCAATGTGGGAGTCAAAAACCAATGCAGGAACATATCTTCTTGAAGCTGGCCTGGCAAAAATGCAGACTGGCTTTGGTGCAGACAGGATTCCGGAAGCTCATCTTCTTGAATTGGCAGAACGATCTGCTAAAAATCAGAAACTGAAGGTAACACCAATAGATATCTCCTTTTACTAAAGAAAAGCATCTCGTCCAAAAAAACTGAACTTGCTAAACCGTGTGATTTCACAGATTTGGGAAAACTATGTTGAAGGAGAGGAAGTTGTAAATGGTGGTTCTAAAGTAGAGAGCAGGCAGAAGGAAACATTAAAGGTGAATTCAGCTAGTATGATTCTATCGACGATGCAGAGTTCTAATACTAAAAGCAAAACCTTAATTTCACTCTTGCCTTCCGCTACAGGTTGTTGTTACAGAAGTACTTGGAGGCGGAAAATTCTATGTTCAGACGGTTGGCGATCAGAAAGTAGCGTCGATTCAACACCAGCTTGCGTCTCTGAGTCTTAAAGACGCTCCCATTGTTGGATCGTTTAACCCGAAGAGGGGTGATATCGTCCTGGCACAATTCAGCCTCGATAACTCCTGGAACCGTGCAATGGTAAATCATCAAATCTCTAAATACATACCAACCTTTTATTGTACTATCACCTATGTGTATTTTATTGTATGCCTACTTTGTAATTCAGATTGTTAATGCACCACGAGGAGCAGTTCAATCTCCAGAGGACAAATTCGAAGTGTTCTACATCGATTATGGAAACCAAGAAACAGTTGCATACAGCGCAATTCGCCCCGTCGAGCCTTCAGTATCCTCAGCACCAGGACTCGCGCAGCTCTGCAGACTTGCCTACATAAAAGTTCCAAGCCTGGAAGAGGACTTTGGTCCTGAGGCCGGAGAGTATTTACACAGCGTAACACTGGGCAGTGGTAAAGAGTTCAGGGCAGTGGTAGAGGAAAGAGATACTTCAGGCGGCAAAGTGAAAGGCCAAGGAACTGGAACAGAGCTGGCTGTAACTCTCATCGCTGTTGACGACGAGATTTCTGTCAATGCAGCAATGCTTCAGGTCAGTGCCTCGCCTTGTCTTTGAATCCTCCAAAACTTTTTGTGTAGAGTATATTTCATATAATATAGAATAAACCTGAGAGTGAAATGTGGTGTTATGAGCACAGGAAGGAATAGCGAGGATGGAGAAACGCAAGAAATGGGAACCTAAAGACAAGCAAGCCGCTCTTGATGCTCTTGAGAAGTTCCAAGACGAAGCTCGCAAATCTAGGACCGGAATCTGGCAGTATGGAGACATCCAATCTGATGATGAGGACAGTGTTCCGGTCAGGAAACCTGGTCGCGGGTAAGTGTGTGTCCAAAGAGGGAGGAGACATCATGAGGAACAGAAAAGCATCGCTTTCTCTTTTTAAATGAGTTAAAGAGGAGAGAGATGATGTTGCTTGCAAAGCATCAAACTTTTTGTAACGTTTAGAAATTTATCTTCTTTTTTTTTCTATACTTTTTTATAGACTTTTTACAAAGGAATTTTCTATATTTAGGAGTACGATGTTTTGTTCTTTATTTTCGTTTGTCAAAGAATCTCATAATAAGGTGAAGTAACTTAAGGTTATCAAGTAGACAACATAAGAGTGACTTTCGTTCCTTTGTATTTGTCATTTGTGCTTTCTTCACCATTTTTTCTCCTAAATTTATCTTCGCGCGGTAGTTATATTTAAAGATTTATTATAATTCAAATAATTTTATATAATCGTTTTGACCACAACGCTTAAAAAAGAAGTGGTTTTTGTTGGTCCACAAGAATTCGGATTACTAAAGATAGCCCGAAGAGTTGAGCCCAAATATTAGAGCCCAAAATGTTCGAGCCCATACAATGTTAGCCCAACAGATTGGAGCCCAAACAATTCGAACCCAAAAGATTCGAGCCCGAAAATTCAAACCTTTAGGATATCCTTCAAATTTATTTGGGCCAATAAAATACGACGAAATAATAAGCTTAGTATATCCTTAATGGCTAATTAAAATGCCCAAATAATTCAAACCCACAAAAATGTTAGATCCCAAAATATTTGAGCCCAAACAATTTGAGCCCAATCATGGTGTGATGAAAAGACTGTTACACAAGATGGAACATGTGTTCCTTCTGCGTATGGTATATAGGCTGGTATAGGTATTATCGAGTTCAGTGGATAGATGACTATTAGACTTGAGTGACTTATAATGTCAGATCACTACGATAATACATGTCAGATTTTACAATTTCCCCGTACCTTCCGTTGGTGCAATTTGTGAAAACCATCAAAGACAACAATACTCAAAAGAAAAAGATATTTGATGTTTCAACATTTCGGAGCAACCAGTTTCTTCTTGAGGGGGAAAAAGGAAGAAACAGAAACTACAATTTGGCTAATGAAGAACCGTCTCACTTACATACTCCTTCCCTTTTCTTTTGTAACGCCCAAAGACAAAAACCCCAACATGGTTTTACACCTTTATAGGCTACAGCAGAAAAGAACATTCAACCCCAAAACACAAATGAAAAACAAAAACACAAAAAAATCTTATCTTCCTTTCACATCTCGAAAACTTGCCCCTTTCTTCTTCTCTCTACTAAGAAAAACTCTTCTAATTCTCACGTCTCGCTTGTCTTTTGCGCGGCGCCGCGGTTTCTTCCTTCTTCTCCTTCTCATCTTCACTCTTTGAGCTCTCTCCTACTTCTGGCTTCTTCTTTTCCACAGTTGCCGCCGCCTATAACACCCATTTTGATTTCTTTAGCTTTCATTCGTCCCCATATACTTCACAAAAAAATATGCCACAGACAAAACTCAAAGGGAATGTTTACCTTTTTGCCACCGAAGATAAGCTTGATGAAGAGCGACAAGAATACTACGACGATGGAGACGAGTACACCAATGGTCAAGTTTGGTTGTTGCTCAGCTTTCTCAATCAGTTCCTACAAAATGATATCTCATTAAGTCACTCCCCAGGGTCGAGTCATCATCATAACATGCAATAACGTTTAAACCAGAAGGAGAACTTACTGTGATCTTAGACTTGTAGGCACTTAGGAAAGATATATCCGCGACCTTGTTCAAGAGATCAAATACAACCTTCTGCAACATCATGCACAGAAAGATAGCTGTAAGTATTTTATACGAGAAACTGAATATATATAAATAAAAGTTTTTATTCTGTTGAAAAATCAATTTACCTGGTAGCTCTTGAGACCATCGGCAGAGCTAGCAGCTTCCTCTTCGGCCTTTTGCTTCTCTTTCTCAACATCGAATTTCGGCTTCCAAGTGGTCTGTCTGTAAGTCTCAGCGACCTTCTCGTCTTTGGCTATCAAAATGTTGTCAAACAAGATACCGTCCTGCATCGTCCAGATCTCTATACCGATGGCTGCAATGGGTTCGTAATCCGGTCTGTCTAGCTCAAAGTAGGCAGGGTTAGGGATATCTCTGGGTTTCCAGATTCCCTTGTAAGCCGGGTTATCAATGAGAGGTGCACTCCATTTGCCCTTGTAAGCAGGATTCCTCTTCATCGGTCTCTTCCATTCACCACAACCTGGTGCTGTTTCACACTTGGGGTTGTCAATCTTTGGAGCCTCCCACATACCATCTTCCTCATCATCCCAATCTTCAGGCTTGGTCGCCTCTGGGTCGTCGACTTCCTCAGGCTCATCATCTAACCACCCTTCGGGTTTCTCGGCTTCCTCATCTTCGATCTCCATGGGTGCTTCCTCGTCCCAGTCATCAGGCTTCACGGCATTTGGATCGGGAATCTTGGCTCTCTCGTCCCAGTCTTCTGGTTTCTTGTCTTCAGGGTCAGGGATGGTCTTGGCAGGGATCAATGCAGGCTCAAAGTCTTCTCCAGAGAGTAAATTGGCCTTTTTCTTCTCCTCTCCGTCAACCAAAATTCTAACCTCGTTGTCGGGTTTCAAGATGGCGGTGTAGACATGGGAAAGCTTGTCATACGGAACAGAGGGAGGGAACTTGAGGTGGTGCTCAACGTACTCTCCACTCTTGGGATTCTTGTGCTTCAAGATGAAATGCACTTTGTTTGTGCCTCCACACTTGTCGGGACCAAACATGATAGAGTAAGGGGATTCACTATCGAACCCCTGAGGGGTCCATCCAGCTTCCTGAGGACGGAGGTATTTCAAGTAAGCACCACCACACTCAAGCCCTTCTTGGAAACGAACCTCGTACTGAAGAACAACAGTTCCTTCCTTGAGGTTTAGAGGCTCGTCGAGCTCTTTCACTATACCATACTTACGGGCCTTCTCGCTGACGAGAAGTCCATAATCATCATGTCCCTCGCTCTTCGCATGCTTCCATACACCTGAAACATATAACTGGTGTTAATAAAGAAGCTTCTATAAAAAGTGGAAAATCAACAACAGCTCAGATTCAACAACAAGCGTAAGATTCAAGCTCTACAACGGAAAATAACCAAATCAGCCTCCTATCAAATTCAAGCGTTAAAACGAAAGCCAAAACATGCATGCTTCGCTTTGATGCATTTGCAAATCTGTTTATAAATAGCCGAATTACAGTTCAAAGTACTTTCCAATTATATCTGAGAAAACAATTTGCACCATAAGAACAAACAACCATTCAACATTAGCATGTGAAGTGATGAATTATACTACAACGCAGTCAGATTCTATTCAAACTTCCATTAACATTCTCGATTTGATTTTTCTACATGTTGAGGGCAACGCATTACAATTTACTTCAATCATTTTAGTAATGACCACCAAAATTCCTAATACATAGGCAGATCAAAACAACACCAACCAGACGAACAGATACTGAGTACAATGCAGTGGGAGTTTAAAGATTTAGTTTACCTTCGTAATCTCCATTCTTCGAAACGATCCAGCGACCATCAAACGGCTCATCAAACGATTCATACAATACCTGAGCAGAAAACGAGAATTCAAACCAACGAACTCAGTTAAACACAGATCTAAATCTTCGGATCTACCAAGACTATTCTCAACACGAGAAAAAAAATTGTCCATGGAATCGAAATTACCGTCTGGTCGTCACAGTAGCAAAGCTTCTGGAGCGAAACGAAAGCTAAGATAAGCAGAAGGCCGGAAAAGAGTTGCCGTTCTCTCATTCTCGGAATCCTCAGAAGGCGAAGGGAAACCTCAGGATCTAATCGGTCGGAAACCGGAGAGTAGATCGGAAAAATCCTTGGTGGAGGAGAAAGAGTGAAATGTATTTTCCTATGACTTTCAGTTTCTCTGAATAATTATATATTCAATCCCGTAGACCCGGTCGAGAGTGTCATTTTGTTGTTTCCACCAATGAGATCACTCGCCACGTGATGGTAACCAATGGCAAGCCGACACGTCAATCAAAAGAGAGCTCTTCTACGTGCACAGTTAAATTGCTATATACGTGCACATTTACCATAATTATTGGGCTGGACCCACTAAACAATTGAAGAAGTCTCTAACCGAGCCAGAGTCTTCTAACTCTCCTCATGATGGATCCTTGTGAGTTTTGAACCACCATCTTATAGTTCACAACTTCAGAAGTTTGTATACAAACAGCAGCTGCATTAATACAAACCTTTTTTCAACATAATCATATATATTAGTTTCAACCCAGAGGTTTCGATAAAATCCAAATAATGATGGTACTTAGGACATGATAACTTTACTAAATCCAGCACTCTTCTTCACTTTCTCGTCACTTTCCATCACTTCCCTAACTTTAACAGCATCCTCCCATCTCTCTGCATTTGCATACATTTCCACCATCACTTTATACACTCCTCCGTCCTCTGGACTCAACGCCTTAACTCTCTCTGCAGCTTTCTCTGCGACCTCTATGTTCCCGTGGATCCTACACCCGCCCAGCAAACCGCTCCACGCTAAGAGTTTCTCTCTGTTTCCTCCCTCTTTAGGCATTTTCTCAATCATTTCCGCTGCTTCTTCGATCAACCCTGCTCTTCCAAGCAAATCCGCCATACACCCATAATGTTTCATCTCTCTATCAACATCATACAGAGATCCCATTTCGTGGAAAAGCTTCTTGGCTTCATCAACTTGACCGGAATGGCTGCAACCAACTAAAACACTTATGAAGCTTACTCCATCCGGTTTGATACCAGAACTAACCATCCTACGGAAGTAATCAACGGTCAGCTCGCCGTTCCCGTGCATGGCGAGACCAGTGATCATCGCATTCCATGTGAACAAAGTTCTATCTGAGCATAAGTTGAAGATCTCCATTGCTGTATCGATGAAACCACATTTCGCATAAAAATCCACCAAAGCAGTAGCTAAAAACGAATCTATGAAAAGTCTCTTCCTTTTCGTGTAATCATGAATAGCTTTCCCTTTTTCTAAATCCCCAGATTGGGCACAAGCTGAGAGAGTTGAAACAATCGCGACGTTATCCGGTTTGAAACCCGAAGCAATCATTTCGCTGAAGAGGCTGATTGCTTCGTTGCAATAGTTCGTCTGCGCATACCCAGCAATGAGACTGTTCCAGGAAACCAAGTCACGAAATGGCATTGAATCGAACAGCTGTCGTGCACGAACAACCTCACGGGCTTTCACTAACCCGTCGATCAAGACGTTGTACGTAACAACATCTCTCTGGGAATTTTCGTCGAACAGCTGCAAGGCACTATCAATTGGGGTGATCAATGAGTAGACCCGAATCAGAGTGTTCAGAGTGAACAAGTCAGCCAACAACCCGAATCTCAGAGCTTGACAATGCAGCGTCTCGACTAGTGTAAGACTCACGTTCTTCCTTGCGCAAGCCTTGAATACGAAAGGGAAAGTGTGGAAATCGGGAGGAACCGAACGACGTCGCATCTGGACGAAGAGACGGTGGGGAGAGAGGGACAGAGACGGGGCATGAAGCGTATAAACCCGAATGATCGTATTGAAGCAAAACGTTGATGGGTTTGTGATGAATCTGAAAACTGAAGCCGCATAACTCACGACCACACTCGAAGTCGACGTTGAAACCGAATTCGGTAACGCTGATGTGGTTGTCGGAGACGGTGCAATAGAGGTGATAGCGAAGAGGATATTGGCGAAAACAGAGTTCTGATTCAGATCATTGGATATTCGGCCGGAAGTGGTGAATTGGGCATGAAACTGATGCAGATGTCGTAGGGTTTTACACAGCTTCAGTAGATTCTCAACTTTTAGGTTGAGATACAAAAAATTGCTAGATGTTATCATTCAGTTGATCTAAGATTCTTTGGACATCGAAATCTGACTTTAAATGGTGCAAAGCTTTTACTCTTTTGAAGAAAAAAAATTCTGCATACAAAAACTAGTTCTCGGAAAAAAAAAAACTACTAGAGAAATGACTCACTCTCTCTAGACTCACCAAACTACTGAAGAAGAATCAATCACATGTTTTTCTCCACCGTGTTAAATTCGACATCTCAAGTTACATTTCTACACTCGAATGACATTAACCAACTCCATAAAATTCGACATCTTAGCTCAGGTTTTTATTTTTCGCCATCATCTTCAAGTTTTCAGCTGTATCTCTGCGGACACAACATTAGGTTCTTGCTTATTTAATCAAGGGCCAGATTTTTCTTCATAGCTTCGTACACAAGGTAGGAAATGCTTGCGGAAGGAATCACTTTGAAAAGATTGGGAAAGATTCCTCTGTAAAATCCTCTTAGACCTTCGCCTCTTAGAGTCTTGAGAAACTCTTCGCTCATTCTAGTGTTTGAGCTATCAGCTTGCATTCTGATAATAAATGACTCAACTTAGTTCAAAACCGCAGAGAGGAAAGAAGGATAGTATGAAAAGATAAAACAAAGCTTAGGCTTTGAGTTTCTTTACCTTGTTCGTACGACCTGTAACGGGTAAACACACGATGCCCCAAGAGCTCCAGACGTCATTCCACATCCGAGTTGTATGAGAGGACCCGGCTCTGCACAATACAAACTGTCAGGATCATGTGAAAGAATGTAAGAATTCTACAGTTTACAGAAACTCTCAAAGGATCTAACCCTAACCGGTGTCATGATGAATATATGTCCTCGACAAGTCTTTAAGAGTTTCGTAAGCAGCAAGGTCAATTCCTGCGTAAGGGATAATCCCAATAAGAGAAGGATAAAGACCCTTGTAAAACGCTCGAGGTCCTTCTTGAATCCAAATCTCCTTTGTGAGTTTCCACAGCTTTGGTGTCTTCCCAAGTTCACTCACACAAGTCTGTAACCGAGTCTTCACGAGATCCATTGGATAAATAGCGGTTTGAGCCACTGCACCAGCCAATCCACCAGCCAAAAGCCTCCCTTTTGTGCCAATTTCACCATCGTCTCCCCCGATTATTGGTTTCAGCATTTCATAAGCAGCAAACTTTATGGCGCTTTCAGGAGCGACTTTCGTTACGTTTAGCCCGTTACCTCTGAAGAAACCCAGCAACTTATCTTCTCTCCATATCTTCTTAATGGTCGGGACGACACCTGCTTTTGTTCTTTGAACTTGCAAAACAACTTTCAGGCGGTCTAGAGGCGCGGTTGCGGTTCTAGATATAGCTCCGGCTAGTCCTCCCGCGAGAAGTAATTTGCTTCTCTGCGCGTGTTTACTTATACCGTCAGGTATAACAACTTGCTCCCCGATGTCTATTAAGCACACTCTTTCCCAGTGATGATAAATGTTCTCAATCGTGGCTTCATGAGGGTGTAGCAAAAGAAAGTCCCTCCACTCTTCGAAAGTTATAATCCCGTTATTGTCCTTATCTACATGTTCCATGAAAGAAGCGAGTTCCTTGTCTTTAATTTCAATGCCTACAAGAACATAATTGTGATGCTTATATTGCTCAAAAACACTGTTTTACACTAAAACTTTTGAGAAATGAGAACATCTACAGATAAAGGAGCTAAATTTGCAACTAGGTTCACTGAAAACCAATAAAGCAACTCACCACCCACGTTTTTGTGAACAAGAACAATGGCAAAAGATAGCATCTACAAATAAAAGAGCTAAATTTGCCACAAGATTCACTGAAAACCAATTACGCAACTCACTACCCACGGTTCTGTGAACAAGAATAATGGCAAAAGATAAACAGACATTTGTATATGTTGAATCGCCTAAGTAATAAGTTTCTATTTTCAAGGGATCGATGAAAGATTTACACAATTCAATTAGGCTGAAACACAAATGTATCTAACAGGCTGATTAAACTGTCTCATTCATATAAAAGCAAGCGATACCATCACTAAAAAGCTCTTCATTTCTTGACTCGTTCAATTGATTCACAGAAAATCGAAGTTACGGATCTCCTAAAAATGGAAAGAATGATATTGCTAAAAGTGAAAAAAACTACTGCAAAAAGGGAAAGCTATCAAGAACAGTTCAAAAAAAGTGGCATCTCAAATTTTAAGTCACCGAACCAATATTGTACAAATAACTGGCCACTTAAGCAAAATCCACATCCATAAACCCACAAAAGTTTCCTCTTTTGATATTTGCAACGGTAACAGTAGCAATAGTGAAACAGTATGATGAAACCATAGTTACATACCAGCCTTAACAAGAGCTTCCCATAGTTCCTCTGGGCAAATGTCGCCGTTGTGTTCGACATCAATGGCCTGGAAAATCATGTAGAGCTCAAGCTCCTTCGCGTCCATGTACCGACGAAACTCCTCGAAATCCACGCGCCCATCTCGATTCGCGTCGCAGACTTTGAGGAAATCTTTAGCGTACTTGTACTTTGGAGGAATTTTAAGCGAAGACAGACCTTTCTCGATCTGGGTGTCGTCTAAGAACCCTGAATTCGAATTGTCGAAGAATTCGAACAGGTTCCGAATCCTCGCCTCTCTCTGCTCCTTCGTCTCGCCTAACGCCAGTAGCACGTGCTCCATCGTCGCGGCTCCGGTCTTCTTACCCGGATTTTGGTTCGGTTTTCCCGCCTCCATGCTGATTATCGATAATTCAACAAGCCCGGATGAAAAAATTGAATGAAGGCTCGGACGAATCTAAGGTTCCTTCATTCCTGGAAGAGTCTCTCAGTCCAGGAACAAGTACAATCTCCCACGAATTTAAATCAGAATTCAAAAAGGATACTCATTGGACAAAAATGTTCGAACCGAATCTACAATAAATATGTAGACAACGACGATTAGAGCGAAAACGATATCAACAATGTGTAGGAGAAGTAAGATCATCAATTTAACTTTCGATCTGCCTCTTTGTTTGAAGCAAAAATATCTGCCACAATCTTCCCCGGACCGACTTGTTTCATTATTTTTTCCTGGACCACTTCCGATGCTTCCACGTACACACAGAAAACACCAGTCAAATGAAGCCGGTCTAAACCGGTTTAGCTGCTTCGAACCAGAACAATGATTTAAGTTAAAGCTGGTATGATTGGGTGCGTTGAACCAGAACAAGAACAAGAACAACGATACACTGACCGTAGATTGCATTATTTTATTCATACCGAATTTGGAAAATATTAGTACAGTGACTAGAGATTTTAGTAAAATTAGGCTAGACAATGATACAAACACCCACAAATTTGGATGTAGGGTAACTCATACATTAACAAATTTGGAACCAAAAGTCCAACAACACAGTCGTCTTTGACAAACCAAACTTCTTACACGTAACCATTACAGAAATATCACATTAGAGGAAGAGGACAACTTTTATTTTAATTCTTTGTATAAGAAAAGAAACAAAATTTCCTTTCAAGAGAAATATCGTAGTATAGTTCCAAAAAAAGGAAAAATATCTAGTCGACATGCAGTTTTACTTTTAAGTGGTAAGTGATTGGTAACCATCTTCCCGGTTCTGTCTCCGATATACCACGACGGCTATTAAAACCACAACCGCCACCACCACAGTCGCCGCAAGGAAGGTTAAGACGCTCAGGCTTTTCGCATGTGCCTGCAAAGAAAATGATGAATACTAACGTAAGTATAGTAATCCACATAGTAATATCCCCTAAACCGTATATGTATTTAAAACTGGTTGGACCTAAATCGCGATCCGGTACCGGGTGGTTACCTGAAAAAGTGCAGGCAAAGAGCTCTCCGGTTCAGGCAGCTGCTGAGCCACGAGGATGTAAAATAGTCCCATAACTCCGGTATGACCAACGGCACTACTGTAGTTAAACTCCAAGGTCAGCGTCTCTCCATTGGTCACTTTCACTGGTTCAGGGTAACAAGACGACATTCCAACAATGTAACCAGCTTCGTTTCCAGGTTCGTCTCCATTGCCATACGTTGGCATCGAAGAGCAGATTCCCTCACCGTCCTGATCAATCAACACAACACAAGAGTCTCACTTTCAGTAAAAAGTTTCAAATCTTTGGTTACACATTAGCTTAAAACTATATCAGACTACTTAATTACCTCACGGTACAGAGCAGCACCGACACCACCCGCGTGCTGGTGAGCTACGCCGTAGACAATATACCCGTTAAAAGGCATCATTAAGCTCTTTTTCTTAACATCCACGCATCCATCGCCATTGTTTTTGCACGGTTTCACCTCGTATTCCACCTGAAAAAGCATAAGACCCCGGACCATTTTTAGAAAGATAAGACTTCTAAATAAATTAAGGTATAAAGCAGAGATGTTTTTACTGACATGGCAATAGTGTTCTTGGTTATCTCCTGTTGATCCTTCTGTTTTTTCCCAAGAATCCGTAACATCGAGAATATAAACCTTAGCGGGCAAAACCGAGCTATCCCAATCAACCCATCTCACGGTATATTTCAGATACAGAGTTCTTGTTTTCTCCACACTGTCGAATCCATTCCTCACCCGACACTGCGTCTTGTCGAAGCAGCAGTACAAACCTCCTTTGTATCCGGGCCTTATAGCTCGACCGTACTCGTCAATGGTCACATTGTACAGATCACACCGGCACTCAGTGCATCCTGATTTATCCACAACGCCTCTCGTGTCTATCGCGTGAACGTTTAGAAGCCATTTGAATTCATATCCCTCAGGTCTTTCATCAGGGTTGTCGATTTCGATCGCGTAAGGACCAGGAACATACGTAGAGGTTTTGCGGGTTTCTGATCCTAACCCGAAGTAATGTCTGACTGTGTTCCTGCACAGACCTCCGTTCTTGACAAGAACGTAATCGGGTCTCGAACCAAGGTTCCTCTCGTGATCTTGCCTCGAAAACCCGTGGTTCCTAGGCATGTCTCGCTGTGAAAGCTCAAAGCCTTTACGCACGTAGTACGGCTCGACAACCCAATGGTGAAGATACGTCTCGTGCAGAGGGACGGGGTTGCCCGACTCGTCGACCACTTCAGCGTCGAAGCCTTTGATACCGATATGCCCTCTTGGGAAATCGATGTCGAAAAGGAATGGATTTGCGACTGATCCTGGATTCATCACCAGTTTTGGTGATAAGAAAACTTTAGACTTTATCTTTTGCTCGGTCCCAAGAAAGCCGTGGCTCGGCGAGATGGTTAATGCGACCAGAAGAAGAGCTAAGGAAGGTATCAACCGACGAGCCATTATCTCCTGTTTCCAGATCATTATAGAGAAGTGGAGAAATGAGATTCAAATAATAAAATTCACAACCATGAATATATATCTCAAAACTCTTAAACCTAGCTTTGTTTTGAATTTGATTTGGAGTCAAGCTATGATTATATGAACACTACAGGAAAATCACTTGAATCCTAATTTAACCAGAATAATATTTTAGCACATGCGCTTATTTAAGCTCCAAAGTTTCAAACTTTTCAAAAGCTGTAAACCCAGAATTCGATTGCGAAATCAAACACAAGAGGGACAAAAAACGATGATTGAATGAGAAGAGAGAGAATTTACGTGGGTACGAACCGGATTAACGGAAATTCCCAGAAAAAAAACGATGATTTTCCCGCTCCTTTAAACTCTATTTGATGTATCGGAGAAGAAAAAACAGAGTCCCTTCGATGTATTTATTGTAATGAAGTGCCCACGAGAGCAATTCGAGAGTTATCTATTTATCATGTGAAATGCGAATGCCATAAGCGCAGAGACGTATAGAAAGCTAGCTCCTGTACACATGACACGTGTATTCATTGACGTCATCGCTGTCGTCAACAAAGGTTCTAATTATCCTCTCCCACAATAAATGAATAAATTACTAAACATTTTATGTGAGATGGTAGATGAATCGATGACCATAGATTATAAAATACTACTAAATGGAAAACACCATTTGACTTGCTGTAATTTAGTACAAATTGAAATTGATTCCAGTTAAATAACTTGCCTTGAGTGTGAAACCAACTCAATAGTTGTAAATAAAAAGGTTTTAGGCTAAAATGTGGTTTAGATAAAAATTGAAGGTCCCAATAATTAATGTTTACTTTACACACCTATCCGCTGATAAGGAATTTTGATTTCCTACAGGCAGGACTACGAGAAACCGTACACGCCCAACACGACGAGACCGAGGGAGGAGGAAGAAGAAGAAGGCGATGACGAACAAGGAGAAAGCACGTGAGAGAAGGGAGAAGAGGATGCAGGAGATCTCTCTTCTTCGAACTATTCCTTACTCTGACCAACAGAGGTAAGAACCTAAAACCTAATTTCTTCGGCTGGTTTATTTTCCAACATCACTGCGATAAACTCAGTTTCACAAGCCTTGTGTTAACTTCGATGTGTTAATCTCGAATTCACTTGCTTACGTCCATATCTAGGTTCTCGTACAGCGTTTTAACTATGCATAGTTGTCAAATTGTTTGATAGAGATTTGGGTGTGTTTGTGTTCATATCAGTTGCTATATTTTTCCTGGGCTATTGTTTCAACGTATTGAATTGGCACTTTTGGTAGTACTTATAGATATGGGTTTTGGAGAAACTGACAAAAAAAAGTTATGTCTTTGATGTCCATTTCTTGAATATGACTTGTAATTAAGCGTTGAATGTTTTGTAGATGGTGGTCTTCTGAAAATGTAGCAGTGGTGACCGGTTCAAACCGAGGAATTGGGCTCGAAATCGCTAGACAGCTTGCGAGCCACGGATTGACTGTTGTTCTTACAGCCAGAAACGTGGACGCTGGTCTTGAAGCAGTTAAATCCTTGACGTGCCAAGAAGGTCTCAAGGTTGAGTTTCATCAGCTTGATGTCACGGACGCTTCCTCGATTAAAGAGTTTGGTTGCTGGATTAAGCAAACATTTGGAGGTCTCGATATTCTCGTAAGCAAGATCCTTATGGATTCGTAATTTTCTTATCGCCCTGGTTATATGCAGTTTGTGTGTGTGACTGTATCTTTCAGGTGAACAACGCAGGTGTCAACTACAATCTCGGCTTAGATAATTCGGTTGAATTTGCTGAGACAGTGATATCTACCAATTACCAAGGAACCAAAAACATGATCAAAGCAATGATACCATTGATGAGACCGTCTCCTCATGGCGCTCGTATCGTTAACGTTAGCTCCAGGCTAGGTAGAGTATTTGGAAGACGCAATGTAAGAAAACTCTTTTCACTCTTTTTGTTTTTATTAATTTTGTCAAAAGAAATTGCCATGAAAATTGTTGTGGAATTGCTTCTGCAGAGACTTGCAAATGTAGAGTTGAGAGATCAGCTAAGCAATCCGGATTTGCTGACAGAAGAACTCATAGACCGAACAGTCTCTAAGTTCATCGACCAAGTAAATGACGGAACTTGGGAATCAGGTGGGTGGCCTCAGACACTCACCGACTACTCCATATCTAAGCTTGCCGTCAATGCCTACACCAGACTTACGGCGAAAGAACTTTCGAGAAGACGAGAGGGAGAGAAGATTTATGTTAACAGCTTTTGTCCTGGTTGGGTGAAGACTGCAATGACTGGCTTCGCTGGAAATATGTCGCCTGAAGATGCAGCTGATACCGGAGTTTGGCTTAGTTTGGTTCTCTCTCAAGAGGCGGTGAGTGGAAAATTCTTTGCAGAGAGACGTGAGATCAACTTTTGAAGTGAAATTTTGTAAACCTTGCAAATTGACTCGTTTCATTTTCCTTTCTACATAACAAAAAAAAATAGATGTCCTGATTCTACAAAATACAGTGGCACAAGAAGAGAAAAACCAACAAACCACTAGAATCAATTCTATTAAAATTCCACCTCTCTTCGATCACATCGTGTCCTCACCAAGGTTTCAGATCAGCGACCGGTCCGGCCGTCCAGTTCAGCAGCTTCTCACCTGGTCTTAGGAAGACGCTCCTCTCATGGGGCAGCTTACGAGCCAACCCATTCAACACTTGATGAAACGCATCCCCTGGCTGAGCTGGTTGCGGGAACAGCATCGCCTGTTTCATCGACGGGTTAGCCAACAGCCTTTGTTTCCTCAGTATAACCTCTGGTGGGATCGATGTGAGTATTGTGTCCAGGTAAGGAACATCCTTCTCGTCCACAAACACACCGATGTCTTCCCAAGGGATCGCATCTGCAAAAGGCAGCACGATGTCGTCTGCTATGATCACAGGGATGCAGCCGAAGATCACGGCTTCCACCAGTCTTGGACTCCATGGGGCCCATCCAAGTGGGCATAAGCAGAAGATTGCTCTTTGCATGTCTTCGTAATATGTTGTCGGGTGCTCTGTTGAGATGTCGAACAGCGGATTGTCCTTGAAGTTTTCCCATACGGCTGCTCGTGCGCCCCTTTGACAAACAAAATATCATCACTTATTATATGAGCAGTTCACGGATTGTAATAAGTCGATGAAACTTCAATTATTACGATAAAGTTACCTCGCATAATAACCACCCTCGGGGTCGTTTCCCACGTCGTAAAACAATCCTCTGAAATAAACGAAGATGGATCGAGGAGTTTTCTCGGGGATCAAGTGTGACTGCATCTTCTGCGGTGGAGCATACGGAGGAACAGTGATTGAACCCTCTTTCAAGCAAACATGATTCCTCTGTCCAAACGTCTGCACCAGTGTTGCCCGTTGAAGCAAGGGTAGTATTCCTCTTCCTATTGCCTTCTCTTCCTGCCACAGTCAAACACAAACAAAGAGATCAGCGCGTACCACTTAAGATAGGCTTGCAGCATCGCTGGCACAAGTCTTTGTTACCACGGCTGGGGATAACAATTTATGCGGCATCAAAAGGGCTTTGCAAGTTGATTTCCATTTCAGAGAGTAAACTAATGAGTATGAACGCACTAAGATCTGCTGAGCACTAGTTATAAACTTCTGGTTCCTAGTTCAGTCCAGACGGAAGTACATAGTAACATGATGAAAGAATGATGTTGAATGATGTGAACTCAATTCCAAGGCCAAGGCATATATCTTCCAAATTGACTAGAAATTCAAGAGGTTGTATGAATCAATGATTTCTTCACAACTTGCAGAGCTAGAGAGAATTTAGTGAGCAACTTCAAACAGCCGCACACAATCATTCACAATGTTCAGAAAGCATAGATGAGGCAATGGCTAATTACGGTAACATAGCAAGAGATTGAGAGGAGATTATTTGGATTACTTGATAATGGAAGCAGGCTCCAAAGTCATGAGGCACAACAAAGAAGTGGTCAGCTCCTTCAGTGCGATTCCAGTACGGCCAGTTTGAAGCAATGAGCTGAATGGCACTTCTCATCATTCGAGGAGATTTAAAGGGCAGAGGAAGCCCATTTGGAGTGAGATCACAAGTGGTGTACACAGGGACGTAGAACCAATCAGCTTCCTCGGGATTAAGTGTTCGAACTGGACTCGACAAAAGAAACCGCTGCATATAGATCTCAGCAGCAAACATGTGTGTGAGACATCTCGGGTCCTTTTGAAGTATCTTCTTGTTGTATTTGCTTGGGAGCTCATAGACGAAGACTTTAAGTCTCCCCACTGGATCATCGTCCAACACATCACCAGCACTACCTAAACATCAAAACAAAAAAAAAAACAAACACACGCTTCAAAGTTCACGTGATTTTGATCCCAACATCAAAACACTGATACCACCAAGGAAAGGCTATGGATAAAGATAAGCAAGATAATCTCTGTAGCTTAACAATGCAGAATTAAAGTTAAAAAAATATCAACAATTTACAAATCAATAGGCATCCTGGTCTACGTTATTCCCAGATTCAATTAGAATCCAAAGCAATGAGTGAAAAAGAAAATCAATCATTTGATTCGGAGACTTGACCTCCCAGCTCACTACTGCTTAATCCAATCATTCACTGAGATTAAGATCGATGCATGAATAGATAGAACTCACCTGAAATTCGCTCGGTTGGTTGACTTCGACTCAGACGGAAAGAAGAAATCGTCGAGACGGTAAGGTTACAAACAAGGAAGATCAAAACCCAGCTCGAAAACTTCATATCTATCTAATCAGAGAATAATTCGCTTCCTCGCAAAAATCCAAAAGCCCCTAAGATCCACAAAATCCCAGACTATCGGAAGAAAACATAGGTATATGAAGGTTGGCTTAGAAGAAAAAATTCCAAAAAAAATAACAGTTGAAACGTCAAAAGACGTAGTTGCTAAAAAAGAGCTCGACGAGATTGTGACTTGGAAGCTGGAACAAATTATAAAATTCGCTACCGAATCCTAGATCACGCCCAGAATTGAAAGCGAGAGCACATCGAATATCAGTTGAAGATGCGAAGAGAGGAAGAAAGAAAGTTGAAGAAGGTTCGTGCGACGCTTATTATGATGTCGTTTAATGCGATCCCATATGTCGCAAACAAAATGACAGACAAGTAGTCGCTGGGGGGTGATGAGCAGTCAAACGTCGGCCGTATTTTTAACACTTTTTGTTCTACAAAAAAAAAATATATATATATTTGATAAAAAAATAACCAGAGAAAATGCAATGGATTGGGCCGCACTTTAGGCCCATTTTTCGTTTTCGTGGCCGCTTGGAGACTCTCGTTCTTCATAACACAGTCCTTGTTGCAAGTTGTATGGGCTAGTAATCTGATTCTAAAAGCTTTTTTTAGGAATACAAAAACAAGAAAATCCATGAGCTAGTTAATTTGCTAATATATAAAAGGGCACAAAACAAATTAGACATTT